AAATACACAACATATACGAGAAGGTACAAGATGCGGTCATATCGCTAAAAGAGCGAAATAGTAGTAAAGATAGAAGGGGCGCGAATAATATATTTATACATATACTTATCGTATCACACAAATATATAATAATAGCAAAATAAATACAAGTAAAATATAATTAATCAATAAATAAATAAGTACTATAACTACATACATAAATGCTATACCTATATTATACATATATTAATAGATATAAAATATAAAAAGGCAAGTTTAACTAAGAATTAATTATACGAAAGTTCATACAGATAATAATATATACAAATAACAAAACATTCTACAAAGAAACCTCTTTTAAAGTGTATGAAAGTGGTTCTTTAAACATTATTAATTTTTTTAACCGACTTCCAAAAAGAAGGAGGTTCTCAATTCATCGGAATCTTTTTTTAATGTATGTTCACCGATTAATCGAAGACGTCTGAACCGATTTGGAAAATGTTTTTTTTTGTTTCGAAGAGTATACTTCCCAGATGGTCCCATATGAATTTTCAAATCAAAAATCGAAATCGGTCTGGCGGTTTCTTAAAAAAACAACAATAAATACTTTTTTTAAATAAATTGTTTAATCAAATATGTTATTAAAAAACTTTCTTCTTAGAAATTACCTGCTTATTACGTCTACACTAAAAATGGAAAAATAAAAACAAAAAAAAACCAACTTTCAAGTTCCAGGCACTAAAATGTAAAAAATAACTTAACTGAGGTTTTTATTTAGAATAGATACATAATCAGATATTTTCGAAGTCGGTGCCAACCGACAATATTTTAAGATTTATATTTTAGTGCCTGGAAGTCGATTTTTCTTTATTTTTTTTTTTAAGTTTTTTAGCTTACATTTATATATTATCTTATTCGTCTAGAAATTATATATTATCTCACATCCTAAAAATGAAAGCATCAAAGTTATTGGCAATAATATTAAATAAAAATGCAATAGAAATCATTCTAAAAGGATTCTGGACATCCATTAACTGGACTCTTTTTTCACTCAGAATAATATGAAACAGGTAGGCGGTAAATGAGTTAAATATCTTTTTATATAATACAAGCGACACGCCCTTGCTCCGCTCGGGTTCGTCTCTAAATACGTTTTAACGGTAAGTATATCTAGATTTCTCTGAGATGATATATTTTCCCGCACTAAAAATTATTTAGGTAGTTTGTTTACCTTGCTAAAATGTTTATAGTTTCAGCGTGGTTTTATTTTAACCTATATTATTTTCTCGTAGTAAAAACCTATCCTATATGTTGACCCGAACAACCAGTATCACCATACCAAATTTCCTCGAAATCCGTCCATCAGTGGTTTTCTCGTAATTCGTTCCTAAACAGACAGACAAAAATTCTAACAACTATAGATTCGGCCTCTGTATCGACAATACGACTATTTCAATAAGATTTTCCCAAAAATATTTAATGTACAGATTCAACTCAGAATTTTATTATACGTATAAAGTATAAAATGTTACTTAATTATATATTTTTTTATTACAATACTCCAAAGAAATATACGTCGATATAAAAATTCTTTCCTTATAAGTATAGTTGTCACATGCCACTCTTATCTAAATGCTGCCTTAGAACGCATTTTTAATTGGCAATTCTCGCCATCTTGGTTTTATAACACGAGAAATTCTAAAACGAAGTAAGCTACACGATATTTTTAATCTAAGTACATCTTTTTAAGTATAAAAAAATAATATAAATACGAAAATGTATTAAAATCAAATCATACAATTAGAGTGGGTGTTGAGCAGATAGTTTTATAGAATATCTAAAATCCTGACCTCGATGGTAATACCCTTTGTGTCGAAAGGGCATGCTGCGACCTAGAAAATGATCCGACCGAAGATTTCTACTTAAGATGTTTTTCTTTTTCTTAGGAAGCAGCCCATATACAATAGGTGTTTAAAGTAGTCATTGAAACTGGCCTTTGCGCAAGGATGATTAGATATGTCTGCACAGTGAGACGAGTTGATATGAAGATAAAATAAAAGGGAAGTGATTTATGCAACAATTGCGGCCTTTAGCTATATTACATACATATATATTACATACATACATATATGTTACATACATACATATATGTTACATACATACATATGTGTTACATACTTACACATTATTTTTATATATTTTATTGGATAATTTTTTTTATTAAATTTTTCTTTAACTTTATACTTAATTTTTTATATTTAAAACGCTTAAAAAGCTAAGTAGATAATTTTCTGTAGTAGGTACCTAGTGAATGTGAAATTGGATATTTTAATATATGTATCAAAGTAATATAAATTACTTATACGCCAATCAATGCCTAAATAAAATGCGTATAGTGTTAATAGTGCTTAAGTTTATACTATAGTATGGAATAGATAATTTATACATACACAGATACACCACTTACAAGTTTCATTTTTGCGACAAAAAGTATCCTATGTCCGTCTCCAAGCTCCCATCCGTTATGGATACCATATACAAAACTTCATCAAAAGTGGTTGAAAACGTAACAGACAGAGTTACTTTCGCATTTATGATATTAGTACGGATAGATATAAGATAGATAGATGGATTGTACAATGTTGATCTAATATTTCTTGCATGAATAAAAAAATAATTTTGTCAGCAATTAAAATCAATTTTATACCCAGACAGCCTAAATTGGAAGCATTTACTAGTAGCCATTAAAGGACTACCCTCCAGGTTATAACGTCAGATCCAGTTCGACTATATGAAAGGTAGTATAATGAATTTATAAGCATATTTTATATATTTTAAGGCAGTGGTAGCCCAGTGGTAACGCGCTCGCTCGGGAAACCGAGTGAAGCGGGTTCAAATCCCGGATCTCGCATCTTTGACATTTTCATGTGCGAATCATTTCTAACATGGCTACCACTTGCCTTACGGTGAAGGAAAACATCGTGAGGAAACCTGCATGTCTGAGAGAACCTAGCAAGTTTTCGAAAGACATGTGAAGTCTGCCAACCCGCACTTGGCCAGCGTGGTGGACTATGGTCTGATTCTATTGAAGGAAGACACGTGCCAACAGTGGGACGTTAAAAAGGGCTGAATACAAGCATATTTTTAAGCTCTAGTCAATTCAAAAAACACAAGTAGGTTAAAATTGATAAAATTGAATTGATCTGATTTTCTCGAAAATGGTTTGTTTCAAGTGAAAGATAGTTTTATGAGACCCATTCACAATGTCTCTTAATAGAAAACAACGTTACTACTTACTTACCAAATCATATTAGCTTTTTCCAAAACCTTCATTTGAATTTAGTTAAGCTATATTGGAAAACTTATTACGGTGTAACTGAGGACTAAGTCAATACATTGGAAAAATGAGTGAATGAGTCAAATTTATTATTAATAATTAAAAAAATATATTATGTTTATATTTTTATAATAATTATTACTTATAAAAATGAATATTTATTACTGTGGGATGAATGTGCATAAATTAAAAAAAAGCAATTATGACTAGTTATTGCAATGGTAACCGTGGTTACTATCTGACAAATGATAATATATAACATGAACTTCTTTCAGTATATGATATTCTATAAATATATGATTGTAATATTATGCCTAATATGCCTTATTTAATTATTGTTTTGTTTTAAATTAATTGCGATATTTGCTGAAGAAGTTTTACTTCAACCGCGCGTAAAGATTACATGCACCCATTTAAAAAAAAAACGGCAAAAGTCATCTAAATGCTTAATTAAGCGGTTTAACACGGAAAGTGGGTTATTAATTTATTTAAAGATAATAGTCAGCCTTAGCGATAGTAAGCGTTGTAACATAACAGTTACGCATTCCTATGGCTTCTTATTAGAGGTTAATTCCGGATGTAGCGTTTTGGCTCTCACTGTATTGCATTATATCTGATATATACCTACTTATGTTATAACTTTTATTTTTATTTATATTTTATTTAAAGTTTAAACCTACTTAGTCAATATTAATGTTAAATAATCATAACAAAATAATATTACAAAGTTTAAGACAAAATAAAATATTTATGCGGGTACTCTACATTTTATACTCTTGCTAGTAATTTCAAATAGAGCACTGTGTTTATGATAGTCTAAAGTAATCAGCATTTTACTGTACTTATCTGTAAAGTTGTTGTCTTAAGCAACAAATTCAAATTTATATTTTTGGACACAACCGTAAGAGTAGTCCGATAGGCAATTCGTAGCCATTTTTGCCATTTTTAGATATAAAACGATATTACATGAGAATTTATTATTTAGTAGTAGCCATAAGATAATATTTTTAATTTTTACAAGGAATTTTTATATACTTACATAAGCAGAACCTAGATACTATATATAAGTAAATATCTTTTTTATAATATATTTAGTTCTACTTTTGATATAATTCTTTACGAATTCCGCTATCAGCTTATAAAAGTCACTTTCAATTTATTTTTAAAGATTTTGTGTGTAATTTAACAATATTTATAAAATACTAGCAGAACCCACCGCTTCGCTCGCGCTAAAACTACAAAAAAAACTAAAAAAGCAGTTTTCATAAAACTTTCATCCCCTATTTTATCCCCTTACGGGATGATTTTAAAGAAGTGCTAAAACACGTATTTATTTAATTGTATTGAAGAGCATTAATACCTAATTTCAAGTAATTCTGATCATAAATATTTTTTGGGTTGTATTATAACGTGTTTTCCTGTGGGAATGAGATTATCTCCCCTCCAAATATTTCCACACAAAAAAATCACGCCAATCCATAACTCTGTTTTGACGTGAAAGAAGAACAAACAAACATATTTTCAGATTTATAATATTACTATAGATTGTTATAATATACATGAAGTATAATAGCATAAAACTTAAATACACCGTGTATTTAAGTTATAAAGTAATTGATAAATCCATATTTTGACGTCTATAATAATAACAATAACGAAATATTTCAGTGCGGAAATGTACGCGATGTCAACGGCGTCCACGACGTCGGGTTCGCGTGCCGACATGACGACAGGCGTGGTAGAGCGGCGCGTACGAGTCGTCCGCCTCCTGCGCCCTCGCAAGGCTGCCCCAGCTTTCGGTTTCTCACTACGAGGCGGAAGGGAATACGCAACAGGCTTTTTCATTTCCAAGGTTGAACTCAACTCTGAAGCTCATCTTCAAGGATTAAAGGTACCTAACAGACAATTTAATTATGAATTTAAAAGAATGCGTGAATCGCAATTATTGTATCCTACTACCTCATTATCCTGTTTGTTTCTAATGCACGTACTTATTGTCATTTGTAAAATATGCGGTGGGCGATTAAAATTTATATCGATAAATCAATTCATATTTTTTTTATATAAGCCATAATTGGGATAATTTAAAAGCTAGGTTTACTTACTAAAATATTACCACTTTGAATCAATTCAATCGATAATATTTTAAGCCAACAAACATTATAATTGTAGCATAACAATGTCTACATAAAAGAAATAGCTCTAGAACTATAGATTGTTCAGACGATTACAGAGTTACAATTTTAATGGCAATGCAAAGTAGACTTGTACTAAAATGATAAAGTTACATAATGAAAATTGCCTAATGGGCATTGGGTGGCAGTTTACCACATTGTGTTCGAGTTTTTCCATATTTTTTGTTACCTTATTGTTCATTATTACATTGTTAGTTCGTAAATGTTTTATTCAGTAACTTTTTTGATTGAGGTACAGTACCAAATGAAAAATTTAATGTTGTTTAACTAAAATCTGAAAATTGTTGTTGGTTATATATGATGTAAATACATTTATTGCGCAGTCTCCCACGAGCATGGTGTATCCCATCATTCGGTTTAATATGTGAAAACCTCTCACAGTTAACTACGACTTGCTCGCCTGCTTTATAATTACTCGCGTCCGAGGTTGAATTGTCGCAAGAAACATTCCATTCTTTCAAGCGCTCACGTAACTGCTACTGTTTCTCTTACCACAATAACTGGTGTCCCAAAATTAAATCTTTTTCTCTAAGTTCGACTAATGATTATCTAGTTTATAATGTTTTGTTAAAAGTATCGTTTATTGATTTTAGTTTTCACTATTTTAAAGGTGGTATCGTAACACAAAAAGTGTCACAATAATGTTTAAGACTAGCAGTGCCCGCGGATTCGCCCGCGTTCACGCTACAAAAAACAAACTCTTTGGCTTTATTTTTTTTTTATCTTTGGCGTTAATTTTAACGATCTAAACTCAAAATATCCAGTATTTTAAAAGATATTCAACGTATATTCTGTAAATTAAGTTTATTTTTTGCACATTTTTCTACTCTATCTTTCTACAATTAGATAAAAAGAGTACAATGATAGTATGATACCACTTGCATACAATGTTTACGACTTTAGATCACTTAGTCTACGCTAAAAAAGTCCCGAACAGGAAGTTAAAATTTAATTAAGAACTTCGTTGTATATAACCACATTGTTGGATGTACTGTCTGGTTCTACGTTCTGCTAAAATGTCCACGTGAGAAGCAATCCTCTCCTACGTCTATGCCTGCTACTTTTAACGACTGGCCCTGATTTTTATTAATGGTTTATTGCAAGCAAACTTTAAGGACGAGTTACAAAAGATTAAATTTCAAGATGTAGTCAGACATTATCATTGGTAGTCAAAGGCCACTATAACGTCTTATGGATTATCGCAGTCGAGTCTCCTTACATAGCTTGCTTGCTTGCTTACCAAGTTTTAGGTAATTCTGATCAAAAATATTTTTTTTCCCATATAAACATAATTACCATACCCTTTTAAAGAATGAATTTTGAAAAATATCTGATATAAGTATGCTGTTATTTTTCAACCGACTTCCTCAAAAAGGAGGAGGTGCTCAATTCGGCTGTATTTTTTTTTATGTTTGTTACCTTAGAACTCGGTCATTTATTAACCGATTTGGACAATTTTTGTTTTGTTTGAAAGTGTATACTTCCAGATTGGTCCTATTTAAATTTGGCTTTGTATGGGCTGGCACCGATTTCTAAAATATTTGATGAGGTATGTATTTAATAGGTAAGCTTTAATTACTTAGCTAAAGCACACCGACTTCGAAAATATTTGATTAGGTATGTATAGTAAATGAATACTACCAATCAGTTATTTTTTACTTTTTAGTGCTTTTGTTTGAAGTCGGTTTTTATTTTTTTGTTAAAAAGTTTTTATTATTTAAAGTTAAATACCATTTTCCGTGTATTTCATATAAAAAATTACAGAGTTTCATACAAACTTTCCTCCCCTATTTTGCCCATTTTTGAGATGAATTTCGAAAAAGATAAAACACGTACATGATCTGATGAGTAATCTAAATCTAACATATTTTCGTAAGCGACTCGAAAAAAAATTTATTTGTTTGTTTTTCGGGCCACCCTAATTATTATATAGATTGTTCCGTTTCATTTAGAATTAGTGCTGAAAATGCTTTATTATGAGAAGTTTTAAATTTTATTATTATTTTTATATGTATTGTATATTTTTATACATAGTGGAATGTATTAAAATTATTGCATACATTATATTGCGACAATGCAGGTTAATATCATCTTTAAGCGTCATACGAAAAATTATTTTAACTTTACAGACGAGCATTGTGTGTTGTATTTTAAAAAGTTTAGTTTTCGCACAATTACTTCCTTATTAAAGTCTTACGAAAGAAGTTTATATCCGTTGTTAACAATAAAGTATTTCGGCGCTCGTATTATAAGTCCTGGGAATAGATATGATATTTTATAGTAGTCTTAGTTAATTAATGAGTTGATTTCTAGGTATTTGAGTTAGAAATGAATACTTAATGAAATCATAAAAAAACACTTTCAAACTTGACACAATTAACAAAAACGCGATGAATTAACTTAATGTTTTAAATAGTTCAGCTTTCTTTATTTTCAACAGCCAACACAAAGAGAGGTTTTAGTTTGCGTTTATGTTTGTCTGTGTGTTGTATCTTAGTTCCCGAATAAACGGGTCGATTCGGACAAGGTAATTTAATGGATAGAATGTTAATTGATGTAAGGTAAGGTATATTAGATGCTCAGTTGTTCATAAAAAAATTTACCCAACTCCTAAAAAATGTTAGTAGTTAATTTCTTTTTTTCAATAAATAAGTAGGTATATGTAGGTTATAAAATAAATACAAATTGTACTGGTAGTCCCAGCCCTGTGTTATCTCTGGAACTATATTTCATTTATTGGTGACGTATTAAGCTAAGTTAACAGAGACAGACGTCCTCGACATATTTTTTTATTTTATTTTAATTTGTAAAAAGACTAGCGACTCACCCTCGCTCCGCTCGGGTTCGCCCCTACTTACGTTTTAACGTTTAATATAGATTTCTCAGAGACGAGATATTTACCCACAGTCAAAAGTATCCTATATGTTGACCCGGATAACCAGAGACCGTGATGCGGTCACAGACAGACAGACAGACAGACAAGAATTCTAAAAACTATAGATTCGGCCTCTGTATCCATAATAATGTCTATTTCAATAAGATTTTCCAAAAAATATTTAATAACCGATTATCAGTAAAGTAAAAGTAGCATTTGTTTAAAACGTATATTTTGATAAATAAAAATGAAATGTTTTATGTAGGTATGTGATGTTAGAAAATATGCACATAATAATTTGCCTCACATAGATCTTTTTAAAATGGAAAAACATTATTTTAATAACAGGAAAAGGATGGTTGCGCAGGAAAAATCTAATTTCTGAAGTAATTTTAAAATAGTTTAGTTTCTTAAGAAGATGCGTGAGTCATTCAATTATCTGCTGTATCCAATCGTTGACTTTCTACTACTAGCCTATGTGTATGCGCCGTTTAACGTTAATTCATCTTGTGTAACAGTTGTTAAAATAGAAAATTTTTGATGCGGCCTTAGATCTGCTCCGAAAGATGCAAACTAGTATAATATTAATTATAATGAGAGCTATGGTAACTTTAAATTTTAATAAAAAATGTGAAAGAATTTTTGAACTTAAAAATATTTTTAGCGCGGTACCAACTTTGGACATTTGATCTCATGAACTACTTTCAAATATAATAAAACTATAAATAACTCTTCATTTTCTTAGTACTATGATTTGATTAATTTCAGTTACAGAGTAAATAGCTCGTTTTTTATTGCGGTCCTGCCTATGCGATATAGAAGTCTGAACTGCACTAATATAAATTATTAAAAAAAATATATAGGTTTATTCAGCTGGAATGTGAATCATCGAAAGTATAATAATTATAAAATAACTCACGAAACATATTTAAATAGACGAGAATGAAATTAAATATAACTACTAAGTTCAAATTATTCAGTAATCATTTGTATTTATTACAGTAATTTTTCATTTTAAAACAATACATTTTTTACTGCTTTATGAATCATAATGCTCTTATCGTAATATACCTTTAGTTATTTAGTTTCAGTTTATCATAATTCGTTCTGCTTTTTTGAATACACGTGTGTTATGAAAAATGTTTACACTGGTATATTTATAAAACTATTACAATTATTATGAAGACAACACATTGTTGTAACAATGATTTGAGAACAGTCCAATTTAATCTAGTGACCTATATTTCTCCATAACTGTCGGATGCCGTAAGGTCTGGTCTAAGATTTTAGCTAAAAAAAAGGTGGTACGAAAGTCCGAAGGAAAGTTGTCGGATATGTGGGGCATGAGGCGTACCGTCCGGCTTCTTCGCGAGAACGCAAAGAAAGTGGTGCTTTCGTCACACCGCGACGTGGCTGACATCAGTCCACTTGCGTGTATGACGTCACTCATTCAACAGAACGACGTCTTCACGCAACTCGAGCGCAACATTATTTTTTTATTACATATTTGACTGTGCTTGTTTGTTACACCTGCAAATAGTTGAACCGTCTAAAGTACGCTGATGATACATAATTTAGGTGTCACTTATCATTCATAAACATTACACGTTTTCAACGACAATTTATTATTGACTAGAGGTACGTGTTAACGGTTAGTATGGAATAAATATTCAACCGCTTGCTCTGTTAAAAAAAAAACAAACCTATCCTACGGGAACCGTACATTTTTCTGGAATAGAAAGTAATGTTTATCCTATTCCACACTATAATCTATCTCTATGCCAAATTTCATCCAGATCCGTTCAGCCGTTCTAGTATGATTGAGTAACAAACACCCATCCAAACTTTCGCATTTATAAATTATATTTATAAATGAAACAAATATTATTATAAATTAATGGGATTATATTACGTATTTATTGTGTATTTTATGTATATGACCGAGCAATAAGTTATCACTACCAAAATTTAATTAAAATCAGTTCAGTACTTTTTGGGAGAAACGCGCACACCAAAACAGACAAACAGTCAACATTTTTAATAACTATTTTTTGGGGGTCTATATTATAAACACAATACGTCATTAAACAATATTGTTTTTTATAATCCCCGACGCAGAAAGAGGGGTGTTATAAGTTTGACGTCAATGCTGTCTGGCTGTGTGTGTGTGTGTTTGTGGTTTTTTTCATTTAAAAGTCAGTTTCCTTGCGGTGGTCCTTACCTATGTTTGGTTAATTTTGGTCCAGCAGTGTAAGAGTATCAGCCCTTTTCCAAAATGATGTAAGGCATTTCGGCGTATGATGACTTGATTAAGCGTGCCAGTGTAATCGTTAAATGACAATTAATTTGTGTAGGGGGTTTTATAAATATTTAATTTATAATAATTATAAACAATATTTCATGTACTTTTTCTAAGTTAATGTTTATTATATGTATAGACAAAAATAGTTATTCCTAGGGTACCTTAGAAGATAGACATATATTATTGCAGTTAACCATAGTCAGTGTTAGCCATATAAATTTCTAAGGACACTCTATAGAACCAGTTATTGTTTTTCCGCGGGAATGAAAGATTTTTCCGTCGTAAAAAGTATCCTAAATGTTGACCCAAGTAATAAGTTCACTACACAAAATTAAGTAAAAATCGGTTTAGTACCTACTTATTGCGTGAAACGCGCACATCGATTTCTCTGAACCTTTAATAGAATTTTTACTCGTTTGTTAGTGGAAATGTAACTTTTATTATAATGCAGTTTTATATGGTAACTACGTTATAAAATTTATACTTAATAATTATTTTGATAAAAACATGGGACTGACCTTAGATCAAAAACTGACGTGGAAACCGCACTTAGCTAACGTTCTAAATAAAGTCGAGATGGCATTAGTAATACGCGGCCGCATATTGGGTACTCACTATAGTGACTGGTTTAAGCCCCAGAACTACACTCTGCACTTACACTGCCATTGTGCGCTCAATGTGCGTGTGCGTGCGTCGGTATTTTGGCACAGTAAGACTGAACAGTCGAGAGCCATTCAAAAACTAGACAGCTTACAAAGAACTGCCCTGTCTAATGACCACATTAGGTATGTCCAATTGCCCTGGTAGGGTACTCAATGCTTTACTCGGGCTGCCTCCTCTAAATTTATTTATACATAAGGAAGCGCAAGCCAGCACGTACAGGGCTGAAATCTAGGGTAGAACTTAGTGGCTCTCCCGGAAAATAAGAATTCTACAGGACTCACTGCTAGAGATACCGCTACTTGTTATGACGACTGATGCCATGTAAAATACGGTACTTATTTGAAAAACTGTATACAACTGAAATTCAATCAACTGAGAACTGGGCTAAAGGCTAGGTAACCTATAAAAACGGATGTATCATCTGGTACACAGATGGTTCCAAATTAGGAGTAAAGATAGGCTGTGGTATATGTGGAAAGCGACCGAGGTTCAGCAAAAGTATAAACCTCGGGCAGTTCGCCTCTATTTTCCAAGCAGTAGTTTATGCCATTCTAAAATGTACAGAAGCCAATCTGCATAAGCACTATACAAATCAAAGTATTTATATTAATTTGGAGACCCAAGCTGCACTACTGGCATTAAACTCAAACACAATCCCAACAAAGCTAGTAGAGCAGTGCATGGACCGATTAAAGTCTCTAGGAAATAAAATAAAGTAGTTTTAAGATGGGTACCGGGTCATACAGAGGTAAATGGCTACGAACGTTCTGATGAGCTTGCAAGAGAATTAGCTCTTGATATGTAGCAGGGTCCTGAGTCCTTCTGTAGTATATGCTTTTAAGGCTGCTAATAAGCTTTGACACACTTGACACACTGAAGACACTTATTAAATAAAACCTACGATAAAATGTTTAACAATCTTATGTTATAAACTTGTTATTGCTAAAGATGAAATTTAAAAAAAATATATAGTTAGACAGTGAACAGTTCATATAAGTATATAAAAAAATCTAGGAAGTAATTAGTAAAACACGGTGACTGGGCAACAGTTTTTTTTTTAGTTACAATCTATACTTATTATAAAAATAAGTCCCCCGGCCGCGTCTTTCTGTCCTCCTGTCTGTCTGTACGCGATAAACTCGAAAACTACTGAACGGATTTTTATACGGTTTTCAACAATAGAAAGAGTAATTCTTGAGGAAGGTTTAGGTATATAATTTATTATGCTTTTATGTAAATTAGCTGAAATACGGCGACAAATGTTGAAGAGGTCGCAAAAAATCTCGCCAAATGGGAACTTTCCACGCGAACGCCGCGTAAACTAGCAAAGATACAGTTAAGTAATGTACTAGAGAATTCAAAATCTATAAAAATGCTACTGCTCTTTACACTAAATCAATCAGATGAATAGTTTTTGAGATATCGTTGTTAGAAGTAATTAGTAGCGTTTAATGCTTGGCGAGCATTGAGATGGTTATGTAGTGCATATTATTAAAAATAAAATGTACATTGTCAAATTTAAGACACTAATATAATAATTATTATGTAATATATTGCAGGTCGGTGACCAGGTGGTCAGCGTAAATGGTTACCGAGTAGATGATGCTGTTCACGCGGAGCTGGTTCATTACATCACCTCGCAGTCTAGATTGAAGATTAAAGTTAGACGTAAGTTTAAAAGATTTAATCGTACTTGCTTCTAAGCATTTGTTACCCTTAAAATGCAATTTTTATATGCTTTATAAGGGTGACAATGGCCATATTATCCATTGTAAAGTAAAATATAATATTTCCCAATAATTGAAATGAAAACAATTATAACATTAATTTCCTCGGTGGTTTAGTGGCTAGCATGTACGGCTGCAGATGCTAAGGTTCTTCCTAGGTTCGAGTCCCGGGTCGGTCCGAGTTTGATTGCTGCTAGTAGATATAGTGAGTATTAACTGATCTGTGATTACTGGGATGTGTTGCACCCCCGTACCACGGAGAGCACGTAAAGCCGTTGGCCCCGCGCCTTAACTCTCCACGGTCGTGTCGAAGTATTGTCCCATTGGACTTTGAGATTAAAAGGAATAGAGACTGTACTTGTGTCTGCGTGTATACTTGTAAAATATAATAATAATAGTAAAATCGGATACCTGCTAATTTTACTCTATAATCTATTTCAGATGTGGGGATGATTCCAGTGAAAGAGTAAGTAATATATACCTATTGTAATATACACTAATATACGATAATTGGCCAATAAAATAAAGTATTTAAAACTCCGTGTATATAGAAATATACCCAAAAACTTTGCTATGTTTTTTTACCTCTAAAAGTTGACTTTTATCTACTATGTAACTTAGTAATTTAAAAATTTGGAAATCTAACATTCCAATTAAGTTCCAAGAACTCTTAGTAATCTACTAAAATTAACAAGACAGTTAGGAGCAGAAGAAAGTAAAACTACTTTGTACTCTGCGAAAATGTTTAGGGTAAATAATTATTTATATATATACATACATATTATATACTAGAGTAGGACTCGACTAGGGATAATCCCTCCACGACCGCGGACACGCAGTCGTGTCAGTTAACAATAGATTTCTTAGAATTTTAATTCATTTCTTAGAAATTTACCTGGAGGTGTTAATAATTTAGGGTAAAAAAGTGCTTGTAATAGGTTTAATTGAATACAGTTTATTTCGTTTCATTTTGATAAAAAAAAAGATATATTTAAATACAGTGATATGGTATGCTTAAAGTGAATTTGTTTCTTTCTTTGTTCCAGCAAAGAGCATGAGTCCCTATCATGGCAGTTTGTTTCGGAACGTGCATCCTTAGCTTCAGATGTTTCTTCATCACCCACACTATGCCACAATACGGATCACTTGACAGATTTACGATTATCTATATTAGTGCCTCCAAGAGCAAAACTTGGTTGCGGGTATGCTTTTTTAAAATTGTATTTCGTCATTTTGTAAAATTTCTTTTATTTAATTTACGTAGAATTATCTAACTTACTAAATATATAATACCAAAATATCTATTATATTTGAATATCATATTCAAATACATATAATATGTAATAGATATTTTAGTTCTATATGTAAGTCTGTGTACGTCTGCTTGCTGCTGTATTGCTATGAGAGCCTGTTGGCATTTTGCTTTTAATTTAATATTTTATTTCATGAAGCCTATTTTTAATTTGAACTCTTATTGCACAGAAAAATATCTTTAAATAGGCTGAACGTTGAACTAATAAAATGAAAGTAAGATATTAGTAGTTAGGTATAAACTTTTAATACTTAATAAAATATGTAAGACGGATTAATACTATTTTAGAATCTGTAAAGGGCCAGACTGGAAACCGGGAATCTTTGTGCAATTCGTAAGGGAAGGTGGCATAGCACGTGAAGCAGGTTTAAGGCCAGGTGATCAAATCTTATCGTGCAACGGTCACGACTTTGCTAATATATCCTTTAATGAGGTAATTATTTTTAACAAGATATGTATAATGATCGTATTTAGCCCTTTTTAACGTCGCACTGCTAGGTATGAGCCTCCCTTCAATGTCTTTCATAAGGCAGTGGTAGCTCAGTAACGCGCTCGCTTAGGAAACCGAGGGAAGTGCATTCAAATCACAGATCTCACAAGTCTGATATTTTCATGTGAGAATCATTTCCAACATGATTTCCTGGAGGAATCTAGCAAGTTTTCGAAAGACATGTGATTTTAGCCAACACTCACTTAACCCGTGCCTAGCAGTGGGATGTTAAAAAAAGGACATTACATATACATATTATGACATCAAAATTAAAGATTTATTTAACTTATTTTTGGCAGGCCATATCAGCCATGAAAGTGAGTGGAAGGCTAGAGCTCGTCATCCGTGAAGGCGCGGGAGCAGAACTAGTGTCACCTGAGAGCTCTGGCTACAACAGCTCGGCGTCTTCAGCCGCGGGCGAGCGCAGCCCGGCGCCGGCGCCGACGCCGCTCGCGCCGCCCGCGGCGTTACGGCGACGACTCGCGAGTGTAGCCGAAGAAGCCGCGGACAGAGCCGACAGGTTTTATTTTATTCCTTTATAGTATTAATTTAGAATTAATGTTGTGATTTTATATTAAGCTATTGATTTATTGTAAATAATTAACTGTAACTATGGATGAATTAATAAAAAGATAATGAATAGATATTTTAATATATTGCATTTGCCAGAATCTTTTAATTATTTTATCTGTATATTAATTTGATTTTTAATTTAAAAAAAATCGAAGTTATTTTTAATATTTTATTACATTTTAGGTTGACCGTAAACAGATTAAAAAGACGAACATGGGATACTTTAGATTTCGATTGGAAAAATAAGGACATTCACAATTTCGACGCGCCTTCTGATATCGAACCTGATTACGACAGCCCTAGTATACCAAATAATCCTCACACGTTCGAAAATAAATCTAGTAGAAAATGTAAAAGTAACACAGATTATGAAGCAACGAAAGTAACGAGTCCCTTAAATAGAACAATTATTAATTTGACGGAAGATGGCGCTACAATACAATGCAGTTACGATAACAATAATCCTAGAAAGAATTTGTATGCTACAACCCAAACGAACAGGGATAAAGAAAAGAAGACAATAGTGGTAGAAGTTCATCATTTGAATTCTACAACATGTGCTAAAACTCATTGCAATTATCCCCCACCTTTGAAAAAGGAAAACGATGCAGATTCTACAAGTATATCGAGTTCTGCCACATTGTCTAGTGCCATTGCTGAAGAAATTCAGCGAAGAAAATCTGTAAGTAAAAAATAACACCTACTTCGTTTTGAAAGGGTTTGATGAGAAGTATACGAAAAAAAGTAAAAGACATTAAAAAAAAAGTTGAAACATTTAAAAAAAACAAGCTTTTATTTAAATGCTCTCAAAACAAAGAAGTATAACTTCTTACGTGCGTACATAAATACACACACACTTTTCGAACAATATGTATGTGATATTCCTATTCGTAAAATAAATTGTTTTCTTTAAGCTAATATGTAGTGGACGATTAGATAAAGTAATTCTTCACTCATCTTAACGTACGACGTATGTTTAAATATTGTATAATACGCTTTAATGTCGTGGGGTTTTAATAATTTTTGTTTGTTTTTTTTATATCACAATTTTCCGTCGTGGGTTTTTTAATTTACGTTTTATATGACTTGTTTTTTCCGGTTCCAAACGATCTTGATTATGATTAGTTTTTTTTTTGCATTATATTCTATGCCATTATTGTATATTCCACACAACTTAGTGCACACATTTTATAACATTGTATTTGTGCCTAAAGATAGTTTTTATAAAAAAAAACGAACGAGTCTTACAGTAGTCGCTTATGATGTGTAACATCTAATATCTCACCTTATTATGTTTATTTTACTCTAACTAGATTATTTAACTTAAATTTGCTATTGGATTTCCTATTGTAATCTAATTAGTCTGACTAAAGGAGGTAAGATTTAAAAGAATTTTGAATGTTGTTAGAATTTTTGTACGTAGTTTTAAGTAAGTTGAAAGAAAATGTGATTTTTTTATAGAGATATTTCAATAATTTTAGTCTCATAAGCAAAACGTAGGTTTAGGTATAGAACCAATATTCCAATTAGAATTATGAAAATCAAATCACCCGTTTAGAAGATATGAGCATAATTGTGAAAGAGAAATATGAAAACCTGTATTATTCAAAGTTCAACATAAACTTTTTAGTTATTGTAGTTATATAAAATATTATTGTTTTATATAAGAAAGGGATATATAAGGGAATAACTGTAATTGTTTTTTTTTAAATGTTTTAACTTTTTTTAATGTCTTTTTTTTCGTATTCTTCTCAGCAAACCCTGTCATTTAATGACTATATCATGGGTGTGTATAAAAAACAGTCCGATCTATTGGATTTATAATAATGCCACTTTATTTAATGTGTTTCGCTCATCAAGCCCGTTCATTTGATATTCATATCATGGGATACATAAAAAAATAGTTCGCCATATTGCATTTACAACAACGTCACTTTGCTTACTACGTTTCACTCATTCAGCCCTTTGATTTGACATATCATGGGGTCGCATAAAAAATAAGTCCGCCATCTTTGGGAGTCCGCCATATTGGATTTACATTAACGTCACTCTGCTTATTATGTTTCGCTCATCAAGCCCTTTCATTTTATATCCATATCATAGGGGTGCATAAAAAACAGTCCGCCATCTTTGGGAGTCCGCTATATTGAATTTATACTTTTTACCAACTGACGGCCAACTCTACCACCACACGCGTTCATTGGTCAAATCAAATAACACGAGCTTTTCCGGCTTCTTGTTAACACACTTTACTCCCTTTTCACGAAATCAATGCCCACAGATTGCAGGAAAGCGAGAGGAAAGATATTACACATCAAAAATAATTTACAGGAATATATTAAGTTAAATACGAAGACATTTTATATGACCATATTTATACGTATTACGTATATATGAAGCGTAGCTGGAATATTTTCTATTTATTTAATATTGTACTAATTATTAAGGTAATAGTTATTAATTAACGTTATTTATATATAGAACAAGAAGCCAACAGAAAAGGAAATGATACCAATCCCCGTTAAAAAAACCAGTATTCCAAAAGCCATTGACAACGACCAAAAAAAACATCACGATGCATTAATGGATGAGTTTAAGAAAGTTCACAGAAAAATGTTTGCCAATCAAGATGCCGTAAACAACAAGGAATGCAATAAAGAAAATCACATGGATAATTTGGTGAGTGTTCAACTTGTTTATCATAACATTATATCAGTTTTTTTTAGAATGACAAATTTAGATAATTGTAAATATTTTCTAAGCATGTTCGCTATACTTTTACTATACTATATAGTATACCTATGTATACTAGCATTGCCCGCGGCTTTGCACGCGATCAGACGACCGTAAACCAAAATCTTAATTTTACATATCTATACATATAATAAAATCGTAAATAAGCCGAATCTGTACATTAAATATTTTTTGGAAAATCTTATTGAAATAGACATTATTATCGATACAGATGCCGAATCTATAGTTTTTAAAATTTTTGTCTGTCTGTTTGTCTGTTACCGCATCACGGAAAACTTCTGGAGGAACTTTGATGAAGTTTAGTATGATGATAGCTGGTTATCCGGATCAACATATAGGATACTTTTTACTGCGGGAAAATATTTCATCTCTGAGCCAAATATGTATAAATAAAAACTATTATTTTCTTTGCCTTAGTGTTTTGCGCACACATGGAAGGATTTTAAAGAAGTTTTAAAACCTTTAGCCTGTGTTCTGACTACATTATCATTTATTTATATAATGTCTACTCTTATCATATTTTACTTAGGTCCTTGTTGAAACTTAGTGGTACATTTTATGATTCAATATTGTTTCTTTCCTTAAAAAATAATTTAAATAAATCTCAATTTAACCGCTTAAGTAGGTCAAAGTGATTTACACGCAGTACACACAGCACACGCATCTGTTAATTATTAAACAAAATATGACTTAATTTCTAAAACGTTTTATTCACAAAAAGCATGCGTGGCTTTAATGCTGTAATTATTTTCAGGTTAATAATTACAGTACCAAAATATTATTTGTAAAAGTTTTCTGTATAATTTAACGCTAAATATAAATATTTACTTATGAAATGATAAACATCATAAGCATGCCTACCTATTTTTGATGTTTGCAAAGATCTTTTGAGATTTGATATCGTGTCATAATAATAATAATCGTTACAGGAAATTTCATACATATCTACGCTTTTATTTTGAAACAACAACAATCATATAGTCTTATGGAGTATGATAACAAGTAACACCAATTGTGTTAGAATACGTACGCTATTGTGCGTTTCTCATAATTGACTTTCATTCAAAATTATGTATCATACTCGTAGTATGTATGTAAAACATTATAATTTCTGGAAAATTATTATATAAGTATGTGCCATAAAAAGAAAATATTGTATATTTTGAGATATAACTTAATAAAAGTTTATTTTGTGGTAAATGTTTATTTAACATATGTATATATGCGAGCGAGGGTCGTAACCCGCCCTGGGTTTATCCATGCAGCAACGACGGTTAAGACGATTTTTGTAGGGCAGACGATGTTTGGGCAATTAATAACCAAGGCTCATCAAATGCCAACAAATCAAAGCATATCGAATCGAAAATATCTGATTAGGTATTTTTCCAATTAGTTTTTTTTTTACTTTTTAGGGTTTTTTGAAGTCGGTTTTATTATAATAAGTAAAACTTTGAAAATAAATATGTTGACGGTTGCTCCTTAATGCATATATGAAAGTTTTGTGTACTTTCGCAAAAAAAAATATGATATTTATCGAATGTGTGCAAGATATAAATCTTATATAGTTCGCCCTGCAGAAATAATAGCCAGTGTTTTTTTTTTCTGTAAATACGAAGCACGTCCTAATTAATGGAGATAGTGATGATGACTAATAAAAGTATGTTTTTTTTATGAGTATCGCTTTAATTTCTAATGAGAAAATATCTATTCTATTTCTTTTTAAGCCTTTCGTGGCCAATATTGAAAATATAAAAATGTTATGTCAGATAAAAAGTGTCAACATAGCGGTCGTAAAGTGCCTGCTCACTTACTTTTGATTTTTTTTCGAAACGTTGCATCTTCTGGATTTTCATGAAACTTGGCATACTGTTAGACAATATAGAGACAATTATTATGTATTTTTTCAAAGTGGTAATTTAATTATATCTGATAAAAATCGATTGACAAAATGTATATTTGCATCGTTTTAATACTTTTATTTAGGCTTGGCCCATGGAAAACAGATATATGGCTTTGAAAAAAAATCACTCCCGGGCACTTTTTTTCAAATAGCTCCTCAATTAACTAAGATATAGAGCTAATATCTACTGGATCAATTACTGTAAGTGTCCTCTACAATATAACATAGGTTACGATATAGGTTTCTATCGGGGGCAGTTTCGCCATGGAAGTATGGCTAGATCCTTTTTGAATAGGACATAAACTAAAATAAAAAAATGTCGTCACTTCAACACTACTTGCATCAAGCGAGTAAATGAAACTAACAGGTTTACTCTCACATTTAGGTTACACGTTCAAAAAGTTTCAAAGTCGTTTACCATACCCAGTCACATTCCTCAACCCTTTCTTATGAAGTAGATTGTGTGCATTAAAATGCATGTGATCCAGTATATTATACATGAATTTTGGAAGGAGACCAAAATTGACCTAATCAGAAAAGGCACGTAAAATTATTTACATTAATATTTATTATCAAATAATGACAAAATTATTAGTATATTGCGAATAGTATATCTAGTATTTTCTATACTATACGATAGATCGTTTCAATTATAGGAGGAGGTTTTTAAATTGGCACGTTGTCACTACATCGTGACGACCTGCTGAGCGATGAGTGTAAACTGTAAAGGTGGTAGAGCGTGCTTTAGTAGTCTAAAGCATTGTGTTAGATGGTGGCACGGCCACATACTATTTCAGATGAAGCTGCTAAAAGATGGTCTGAATCAATTCAAAGGGATTCTCTAGTATTACTTATTAAAACGAAAAATATAAATTAATAGTGTTTTAGGGATATCCTAATATAAAAAGAAATCAACGGAATTTTTAGAATAGTAGTAATTTTCATCCTATGCTTTTAACATTTAAATGTCCAATTTAAAGGTTGTCTGGAAGAAATCGCTAATTAGCGATAAGATCGCCTTTTGTGCACACTTTGTGTTTTGTTTACTGTATATACTTCATTACTGTGGTGTATAAATAAATATTCTTATTTTCACTATACAAATTTAAATATTAAACCTCGATACGCCCTATTAAGTAGATGCGGTATAAATAGCATTGCAGGGCGTTTTCCATTTAATGATTGCGTGGCGATTCCTAATGCCGTAATAATATATTTGTTTAAAATAAATAATTCGTAATTCGCTTTAAATTGCAAATAGTTTTAAGAAAAACCGTTAATAATTATTACGTCCTGCATTGCCAATAGAGATTTTTTGATGTGTACATAAAATACATAATACATACATATATATGTATGCTTTATAGTTTATTATATTCCTGCTACATGCTAGTGTCTAATAATAGAAATTGGTTTGTGCCGGTCAGTTTGTTGTTTTATTACTATTGAAGACCAAGCCTTAGAGAAAATATCACCCTACCGTCAACACGTTATACATATGTCGTAGTACAACGTCACGTATGGACATATATATTACCGAGAATATTCTAATTAAAATAATGAAGAGAGAAAAAGTAAGGTTATAAAGGTATTGGAACCTTTGTTTTTCTTCGAATAAAAGACAAATAGTTGTGTTGTACGACCATATTTTTACCCCACTGCAAGGAAAGGGTTATGTATTTCGCGCCTATCTTTGTATGTTTGTTTGTAATATTATTTATTCCCTCATATCTTCCAAACCACTCGATGAATTTCTTTTTCCTTAAGGTATCGTTAGATTCGTCTCATTAGTCCAAGTGTTCTTAGATAGGTAACATAAAAAAAAAAAATTAAAATGGGGGCTGCTAGATTTCATCGTTTAAGGTGATTTTTTTAATCTTCTTTTTCTACAATATGGGTATCAAATTAAAGGCCTCATAACGAACTAAAAAGATGAAAACAATGCAGTCGGAGACATACACGTTTCATTCTTGCCGCGAGATGTACATACTACTGAGATGTACATACTCGTAGGTATGTCTCCGACTGCATAATATTATATTCCACTGTGAACTTGTTTTTATCTTTTTAGTTAGCTTTTATGCAGTCGGGTTTTTTATTTTTATAATATATTTTTTATTTTTTTATACTCCAAATATTACACCATCAAGTTTAAATACCTTGGGAAGCAGATAACCAACTGAGATCTCATTACGATGTCTCCTTTTATCCGGAAAGAAAAGTGCATAAAGATGAGAATTTTTGCAATTATGTAATCTCCAACGACAATAATGCCTTACAAAATTAACCTGACTCTTCGCCACGAGTCATTAGTAGTGGTTTACATAAGTGAGTATTGAAGTGTAAAAATAACTACTTCATTTAAACTATAACTGGTATACCGCATAAGCTTAAGTATAAGTATTGTAATAATATAACATATATTCTTTTATTTCATATCGAAACATTATTAAAATATTTAAAAAGAAAACGTCTACGTAAATAAAATAAATACGTAAAGGTATACCCAGGTAGGAAGGAAATCTAGTCAAGAGTATCCTTAATAATTAAATAAATAATGTATTTTCAACCGACTTCAAAAAGGAGGAGGTTCTCAATTCGACTGTATTTTTCTTTTCTTTTTTTTATTTTTGTTACCTTAGAACTCCGTCATTTATTAACCGATTTGGACAATTTTTATTTTGTTTGAAAGGGTATACTTCCAGATTGGTCCCATTTAAATTTCAAAAAAAAATACCACCCCTAAGGGTGGAAAAACAACTAATGATGAATTTAACCTACTTCTAATTGTCATATTGACTTGAGACTTTGCAAGTATTTCTATTTCCGTTGATAGTACAGTGGTTCGGTGTTGTTGACCTGATCTGATGGCAAGGCCAGAAGGTAGATAGGTGGAACTCTTCAACGGCTAATAGTAGATACTTTGAGTTTGGGCTTATTTTGTTTGATTTGACAAGCCTAACACGTTAGAATTCTTACTTTGCTACTACTGTCTACACTAAAAAGGGAAAAATAAAAACTTTTTAACAAAAAATAAAAACCGACTTCAAACAAAAGCACTAAAAAGTAAAAAATAACTGATTGGTAGTTTTCATTTACTATACATACCTAATCAAATATTTTCGAAATCGGTGCCAGCCCATACAAAGCAAAGCACACCGACTTCGAAAATATTTGATTAGGTATGTATAGTAAATGAAAACTATCAATCAGTTATTTTTTTACTCTTTAGTGCTTTTGTTTGAAGTCGGTTTTTATTTTTTATTAAAAAGTTTTTATTTTGTTTAATATTACTTTTTATGCCAGTGCTCAAGCTCCGAATTTATCATAATATTATAACCAAGATCAATTAAAATAAAACAGAAAAGTTGAAAACACCTCCCACGAGTGACGTCGTGGGCAGACACTAGTGTTCAAATAAATAGTAGGTAAAGTAACATATATAGCTACATCTACACTTTTCCTAATCTAGTTTACGGGATATAAGGTTGCTACCGTCATTGTAATGAGTAAAGCCTATTAGTGTCGACAATACAAGGCGTAGGGCAGTGACCTCCTTTCGTAATGAGAGTTTGGATAGCCAGTAGCCCATCGCGCAATATTTTTATTCAAATAAGTAAAGATTGTATTTATATGCATTACAATAATTTTAAATTTTTATACTAAATAGCATCCATACTAATATTATAAATGTGAAAGTGTTTATTTGTTTGTTTGTCTGTCTGGACTCTTAGGTTAGAAGCAATTTTAAATGTTTACTTAAACATAAAGGTTAATGTCATTACATAATTTACAGAAATTGTAGGCAAAGTTTTACTTATTGTAGTTCTGGGTTTATTAATATGGTATTTATTTAGTCATCATCAGTTTCATGGTAACAAGCTACCTTTTACCTTTTTTACTCGGATATGGTTCGAATTCCACAGAACTTTTACTTAGCGCACGCCTTTTACGTAACCTATTTCAAGAATATTATGTCCATCATACACATCTTGATTGGTTTTCACTGGAAGCTATCTACCGGTCGCGGAATCGACTAATATAGGTATTCCAAGGCATTACACTGTTTTTAATTTGATATCTCAACAGAACCAACCTAAAAATAATGAAAGGGCCAATTACTTGCCATTGTCACTTAAATAAACACCTATTCAAAACTGGAGGGACTGATAGTCTTCTGTGCAGAGGATGTTTGAGTGCCGAAGAATCAGTCACCCACGTAGTCCTTGAATGAGAGGCAGTGGCTCATCAACGCAAAGAAATCCTCAGTTTAGTGAGGTCACTCCGAGAAGCCTGTGAAGTTCCCAAGAAACTTCTGCACTTCTGGGCGGAGTTAGTCTGGCAAGTTAGCCAGGATTCAAGACGCACAACAGACTAAATGACAGTCTAAGTGCGGAAAATTGAGCATACTTTACATTTCAATACATTATTATGTCTCCGACTGCGTAGTACTCTATTCCTTCGTCAACTTGTTTTCATCTTTTTAGTTAGCTCGATTTAGCAGATCGATGTGTCTGAACTACTTATTTAAATCAATAGTGATGCGTAATACTCATAAGTATGTTTGTAGTATTGGTTGTATGCTTTAAAATTGTAAAAAAAAACTTTTTTATTCCTTACCTATACATAAATAAAAATATACGTTTATGTAGGACATACTTTATAATTATATGTGTTATAGGTATATTATTTTTCAACTGCCTCGGTGGTGTAGTGGCTAGCATAGTGATAGCACACCCGGAGGTCCTGGGTTCGAGTCCCGGGTCGGGCCAAGTTTAGTTATTGAGTCTTTCTGTATAGTAAGCCTCAGTAACAGCCCGGAGTTGGGAAGGTGGCGGTGTTTCAACCCCGTGCCTCGGAGAGCACGTAAAGCCGTCTGTCTTGCGCCTAACTCTCATTGGTCGTGTCGAGCGGTCGTCCGACAAGAGTATGAGAGTGACAGGAATAGAGAGTGCACGTTGTGTCTGCGCGTACACTTGTGCACTATAATATCTGCTGCGCAGTTGGCTAGTCTCAGTGAAATTAGCCGCCGTGGCCGGAATCGGTCAGGAGAACATCATATTTCTATGAATTTATTAAGAACGATATACCTAAACTACTTATATTGTGCTATAGTATATGACTCAAGATTTATCGATTAAAAAGTTTATCAAGTTAATATTTTAATTTTTCAGGAAACAAAATAGGTACTTGTAAGTTATAATAAACAATAGACATATAAGTATTGATAAATGTTTAGCTGTTATCGATTAGTTTATCACTTTTTTATGTATACTACATAGACAATATATGGAACACTGATTTAGCACGATTACGCTTCGCACTGATAACGTCGCCCCCGCACCTGCGATGCAGCGCGCCGCACGCGGGCCCGGCGACGCTCAGTCACCTCGCCACATCCGGTGTCGACGCGCACCGCCGCGCCGCAAGTCTCTAGGAACATTATCGCGTTTGCGTCGTACTTTACTGGAAAATTCGTTTAAAAATTCCACCATTTTCCAACCACTTGAATTTTATCTGTGACCTTCACGCGCTCTTGCTTTATTTCTATGATCCTCAATTTTTTATGCGTTTCTAATGTAGAGTTATATACATTACCACTATCGCGTATGTTATTACCGTGTAATTTGTTTATTATTTGAAAATGACTCTTATGTGATTAAATAAAAATGAAGAAAATCAATAAATCTCCGCCGTTATTCACTATTCAGTGCTATGAAGTAAGTTGTGAAGATTTTTGTCATTATTAGAGCGAAGCGTAGCCTATACGGTCGCTGAGTTATTTGGCTAGTGATTGCTTATATCAAGCATATAAATTTGCATGAACGTACCTACAATTTTGTACCCTAATAGGTATTGTTATAACATGTAAACCTTAAATTACAATTTATTACAAACTCATTTTATATATTTACGAAACTTTTTTCATGTCTAAATAATCTAAGAGTAAGAGTTACCTGCAAAGGTATTTTACTTCTATACTATCTATTTTTTCAATAGTTATCATGGAATTAATATTGACACTTACGTATCATCGCGCTACAAGAATTTATATCTTTGACAAAATGATCACAACAGACATTGTGATTTTTTGGATACATTGCATTATGATAAGAACAGTACGACGATCTCATGATATCCATGCTCATGATGTATGAGTATACTCGTAATATATCTTAAAATTACGTTTAATCTGATATCTATCTGACGTTGGACTACTGACTAATTGGTTTACCTACACAAACACATCATGGCCGCTAATTACCTACTTTGTTATTCATGCAGCTCTAGGTTTTAACAAGTAATAACATTACGTAAAAGAGTGTTTTAAATATGCATTTATATGGTATATAATTTAAAATTCTTAAGCAGATATCTTACGTCATGTTTTCCTTTATAATACGAGTAAGAACATTAGCTTCTTAACGTCATTCTCTTGTTACCAACTAATTAAGTTTTCATTCCGTAGTTTGTATTGAGTCTAAAATCACATTGAAAAAGTCTTGGTAGGTAAAGTTCAATGTCAAACCGCTAATCATTATTTAACTAAAACTACGTATGTATCTTACCGTATTTATTCACAAAACATCTAATAAATTGTCGTTAGAATTCTATTTTCGTTAAACTGGACAGCTTTATTACCAAAGATTAAATCTTAAAAATAGCATTGACTATTCAATTATTTTATGCAATGCGTATTATTTACATTTGATAATAAATCAGCTTTCATTTTAGCGACCTTTTATTACTAAGCCTACTCTATTCGTCCGTCTCATACTTTGATATCGATTTAACTTGAAAGGCTTTGAAGGCAGCCGATTGACATTATAGAGCCAGATCCCAGAGCCCCCAGACCTTACTTATTTTCTGATGGACAAAATATCTATACATATAATAAAACTGTAGAAGTCGAATGTCTATACATAGAAAAAAATGCTAAAAACCGAGCCAGGGAAGACAAATAGAACAAATCCAGATTTTTTTCATTTTTTTTGTTTCTCTGTCTGATTGTCTCTTTGTACGGGCTAATCTCCGAATCTATTGGACCGATTTAAATGAAAGTATAGATAAATCATACTACATTGAGGACTAATTATTATTTCAGGATCGAGAGACAACTTTACCTGTCAAGAAAGATGCCAATGATCAAAATATCCCAATTGATTTTAAAAATGACAAACAGCCATATAACAATCTGGAATTAGTACAGAAACCACCTCCACCGCCACCAGTAAGTTATTTATTTTTACTCATGGCTCAATTATACTCTTCATTACTGTACAGTGTATAACATCGAATGCGCAAACTCAAAATGAAATCGGCAAACAATAAATAAATAAATAAAAAGTATTTATTGCCATAAAAAAAGTTAACAGAATCAGTAAAGCTTAAATTAACTTATGGCTAATGCTGCTAAGACCTAAATCTCAAGCAGCGCTGATTTTCAGTTACACCCAGCTCCTTAGGGTGTTGAGCGGGAGCAAGGCAAGAGGACTATTCCTCCAGTTAACCTCTAGAGGAGCCAGAGAAAAAACGTAATGAAAACAAAAAGCAATAAGAAATTTAAAAATAAAGTGTGTGTGCGCGTGTGTGAATTTGTGTGTGTATGTGTGTGTGTGTGTGCGTGTGCGTGTGTGCGAATTCAGAACGGATGCTAAGTTACTTTTTGTTTTTAAAGGATAACTATGTACTTCTTTAAATATTTAACTAGCTTAGGTATATTTTACGGTTAACACTTTCATTTTACACCATTGGGTTTGTTGGAAAAGATATTTTTTTAAAATACATAAATCTGTAGCTAACTATATTACTGTGTTATAATGTTTCTAATATTTTAAAGTCCACTAAGGAATATATTTACTTATTTTTGTAGATGCCACTAACAAACGGCCATCAAAATGGTAATCACAAAAAAATAGAAGACAATAATTTAAAATCAGAAGATGCAGATGTACATAAAATACCTAACTTCAGAAAACTTGGAACATTAAGTAGGATACCCACACCGGACTATAATAATAAACCGGATTTACCTTCACATCTGAAGACGAATAATCATCGGGATCAGAATGCAGAAATAGAATCATTAGAGTCTTACAAACTCAAGAACCCCATAAATGTAACGCCCCGGCCTCCATCAAATTATTTCATTAAAACTTCAAATGGGCCTGACACTATGAAAAAACGGCCAGTTTCAGTGACTATAGGAGAGTATGTAAACAATATTGCAAGAAAAGAGCCATCTAAGTTGGATTTCCTTAATGGCGATAAAAATGTTAGAAGAATAGCTGATGATGAGCCGATCACTAGTAGATTACAATCAGAATTAGCTCTTACATTATCTAGGTCAAATTTACGTAAAAAGACTGAAGCTTTAGTAAGTATTTTGTAAATCTAATCATGTCTATATTATTATATTAAATTAGTTATTAATATCAATAATTATGATTATACGAGACGGTGTAGTTTATCTATGAGTAATTTTTTTCAGGTGTATGCATCTAGTAAAAAAAACCCTGTAATACAATTAAATTCCAACGATCAACATTTTCATGCTAGATATGGCAATAACCTCTTACCTTTACCTCCATCTATTATTATACCCAAAGTCACCAAGCTTAAGTATTGATTGAATTTATTGCTTGTTTAAATTATAACTTGGGGCAATATACGCAATCTCAACAATATTATAATGTAAGATATTATATCGATAATAAAGCACATAAGCGGTTTTTCCTATGGCCTGATAAATCACATGTCAGTAGAACCTACATTTTTGCACTTTACTAACGTAGAATTATAAGGAAGTGTGCGTCAATTTGCCGCTTCAAGCAGTTGCCAATTACATCACTATTTTTTCTATTATAATATCACCACACGATATTAAAATAATATAATTTTTAAACCACAAATGACACTAAATGATCTGCACTTATATGAGTGTATAAACTTATAATTTAATGGTAATTTTAAAAATACCTGTAAAATATGGTGGAGGCAAATTTAATCAAATCGATTATTCTTTATTGCACACCTATAATTTACATGACATATATATGTATATAAAAAAGAAATAGCACAACAGGCGGCCTAATCGCTAAGTGAGCGATCTCTTCCAGGCAACCTTTAAATATATTTATTAATATAAACCTATGTACATATTTAATAATCATGGACATTTTTTATTTGCAGGGTGACGGAGGCCGCTAAGTACTTTTATATAATATCAAATTCCATAAAAAATATTTCCGAAAACTATGATGAACAATGAATGAACTTATATATTCTTTATAAAACATTAAAAAATGTAATCAATGTATAAAAATTATTGAGAAATTAATATTATTTTTTCAAGTGAGCTGCAATATGATGAAACCTTGTAAATTGTCACTTCTTTAACCAATGTTTATTTATTTGATGAATTATTATGAATAAATAAGTATTTTAAAAGCGTGCCTGTCCTTTCATATATGATTAAAATCAATAAAAATATGATTTATGTTAATAAGAAACAGCAACCAAAGCTCTTTCTTTTAAGCAAAGTTTATATGAAAATTAAAAAAAAAACAATATGTTAAACTGAAACACTGTGTCAATATTCTAGTTACGTGATCAAGGTGGAATGACTAAGTCATATAATTTTAAGTACATATGCCTATATTATATGATACTAAGTTACAATATAATATGTGAAATGTGTATGTGTAAACAAAATACACAGTTTGTTAATGTCAACCTTGAAAAAATTACAGTAAAAAGTATAAAGTACAATTTAACTGTCTTATTTTTTCATTCCGCATTTATACCATAAGTCTTTGTCATTAGGACTATTATCATTAAAATAAAAAAATATGTGTAACTTACTCCAAATTAGTAGGAAGTCGACGGGATCGGGGCTACCAATATAATTTTAAGGAGCAACAAATAGGGATTTAAGGTCGAAGCCCATGTCCTAACAAGAGATTATATTTGATTATTCAAAAACTCTCAAACTTTGAAAATAGAGGTTGATGGCCAAAGTGATAAAGAAAGCTTTTTTTTATGGTGCTCAGTGACAAACGAGCAGACAGACCACCTGATGGAAAGCGGTACCTATCGCCCGTAACACCTACGGTTCGAACGAGTTTTTGGCCAGAAAAAACTAACTAAAAATATGAATAAATACAAAAAAAAACAAAAGTAAAAACTTTGTATCCGACCGGGATACCAACCCAGACACCTGGCGTAGTCAAACTTGCGTCTTGGCCGCTTGATCACGATGCTTATGCACGAGCGTGCAAATTACCAACCATATTATGCGTGGAATAATGCGAAACAAAACCGCATGAAAACTCGAAAACACGCGTTGTCCCAGACTAATCTAGATCGATTTACCGCTCCCGAAACCCCCTGTGTAATTTCATGAAAATCGTTGCCGTAAGCCGTGCCCCTACAGTGGGGGACCTTTAGAATTTGATGATGATATTTATTTTTATTTATGGTGAAATTTAAAGTAGTGATGGTAGCCCCCCACGGATATGCTTGAGTTTATCTCGCGTTACTTTTTTTTAAGTCAAGGGTTTTTAAATTATTTTATCCTTTTTCAATTACTTTTTAATCGTCATAGGTTTTTTTCAAAATTTTTAATTTTGCTTTTTATTTTAAACTTTTTAGAGAGCATAGATATTATGTATATACGTTGCCTTCGTCTTTTGCCTCACATACATTTTTGTGTTTAAATCGTGTACGACGTATGTATTAATAAAAATTCTAAAGAATTTTTAGTCTCTACATCACTTCTTCCTACAGAAGTACTTTAACCAATCAAGTTCTATCGAGTTTCCATATTACGAGTATGTAACTTACCTACTATAAAATAAAATATATTAATGCAGCGCTCCCTAGTGAGCTACTATCGTAACACCTATTTAAGAACCCTCACTAATCAACTACAAACCCATTACTGAAAACCGCATCGAAATCGGACTAGTAGTTTTGGTTTAGCGCAAAAAATGTTTACTGCAGCGCCCCTGGTGATTTGTCACCGTAACTATCTCTATCTATGAACATACAACAATTAAAATCGAACCCATCTCTGATGAAAACTCCATCAAAATCGGACTAGTGGTTTTTGGACATAAATGTCCTTAATACGTAGTAGCTAATATAAAATATATTACTGCAGCGCCCTCTAGTAAATTACTGCCGTAACATCTATTTAAGAACCCTCACTAATCAACCATAAACTGTATCAAAACCGGACTAGTAGTTTTGGTTTTGCACAAACAAATGTTTACTGCAGCGCCCCCTGGTGAGTTGTAACCGTAACACCTATCAAAGAACATATACCAATTAAACCCGAACCCATAACTGAAAACTGCATCAAAATCGGACTAGTAGTTTTGAAGAAAAATGGCAACATGTATTTGCACAAACAAACATCCTCTCACCCCAAACGCATATACCGTCTCCGTTCCGTCGTGGGTAAAAAATACTACTATGCACCAACTTTACATAATCTATTAAATGGAGGGTAGAGGTAAGGAGAACTATTTTAAAGGAAAGACAAGTAGAAAAGTGTCCATCTGTAAGCGATAACAGTTCAAAAACCACTAGAATGGCGCTAGCATAGCAAGATAGGGTATGATATGAATTTAGCAGTTGTAAACGGAGTGAAGCGTGCCGACTTGAAAATTTTAATATTTTGGGTGACTTGAGTAGTTATTCAAACTATATACGTAGTCAAAAAAAATTTGCAAGCATAACCGAAAAAAGCTGTTACAATACTTTTGGCCTTTCTTTCAAAATGCACCCACTTGCTACCGTGGCGCCACCGTAATTTAAAGCTTTTCGACGGACACTTTTTCATTACAGAGATAGTTCTCCTTACTTCTAACCTCTTCGGTCACAAGTCACAACAAATGTCCAAAATGTCAATTGTCATTTGTCAAGTAATAACAATTGTTGTTCCAAGTGTTAAACAAAAAATAACCTATGTTCATCCTTATTACTTACGAAAAAAACTAGGAATTGCTTAAAAAATAGAATTAAATGAAAATTATTAAGCCTTTTTATGACAACTTATATTAGCGTCACTGTTCTTTTATAACATATTGTCTAGACTAGTGTATGAAAATGATGAGAAGAGCTTTTCAATTTCCATATTTTTCAAAATGTTGCAACTGTATATCAATATCGAGAAATATTTCAATGAAAAACCAGATTAAAAAAATACATAGCACAGTAAACGTTAATGTTAAAATGTATATAGAAAATGAAAATAAGTATGCCTATGAAGTAATGCAAAATATTGGATATGTTAATGTTTTAAATATTGAGAAAAAGAAAGTAGAACCAATGACAAGCAAAGAATTTGAAAGTATTCAGTCAAGAAATTGGTCAAAAGAACCCCAACATGTATTATTTCAGACACTTTCAAGTTTAAGTATGTATTGTTCACAAAACAATATTTGTATTTCAAATAAACTATTTGATGATTATGTAGATAACTTGACAGATAAAGTAAAATTTGCCACTGATGAAGAATTAAAAACTTTATTTCACTCATTATCACAATTTCCTGCTACTGAGTCTATTAAAACAAGAAATTATATAGAAATTTGGGCCGCTTTAGATGATGAGTGTTTTCATAGAATTAATAAGTGGTCTTTTGATGAAATGCTTACATTTCTTTCTCTTTTTTATATGTTGAATGTTATAAGGGTAAGTGATTATTCTTATAAATGTTTATTAAAATTGGCATACAAGGCAAAGCAACTAACAAAATCTCAAGTGGTACAAACTTATTTTTTTATTGGGACTGCAAGAAAATCACCGAAAAATATACATAATCTAGAAATTTATGTTCAGGATCAGTTTTCCCAATTTAGTATTGATGATTTAGCTATAATTGCTATGGGTTTATTTAAGAGTAAAACACCCATCAGAAGCATGGAGTTGATATCAAATATCATAGACAAAGTCATGAAAAATTCAAAGCACATTCATGAAGTTTCACTTGCATCATTATTAAAAGTTATAAGATATTCTATGAAAATAACTACAGATAATAAAATATATAGATTATTAGAGACCTTACAATATGAAATACCAAGGCTGTCAATTATGTGTAATGTTCATTTAGCACTTGTAGGAACTAGCACATTAGTACTACATGAAAACTGTTTAACAAAAATTGCGGAAAAAATGCAGGCATCAATGTCTGATGCTAGGCTTAAGGATATTGAAAGGATTGTCTTGACCTATGGAACATTTAATTTTATACCTCAAACTAAAACTTGTTTTATCTCTCAGATATTAGATGAGTTGAGAAAGCCAGATCGCATAGAGGAAATTAAAAAACATGGTAGGTCATTATCATGTTGTGTTGCCTATCTTGGTCTTCTTGGAATATATCCACAAGATTTGATGGATAGAATATTAAGTAAAGAATTCTTGGAAAATGCATATGGAAAAAATTGCTATCAATTTGGAAGAGAAATTTTAACCATACATAATACTGCAAAAATATTCTTAAAACATGAAAACATGAATCTACTGAATAACACACATGTAATAATATTATCAAAAAAATATACAGACTATATACCAAGTGAAAGTTATCAGAAAGCATATAACATATCAGAAAAAATGTTTTTAGACGTTAAAAGAGTATTGCAACTGATGCGTGGTGGAGAAAACTTTGTAACAGGACATCATATTGTGACACATCACCAAAGAGGAGGTAGTTAAATTATGATAGCTAATTATGTATAGATATTATTACATTTTGTTTATCTGTATGTTGGCCTCTGCACATATATCCAATAAGGCTGTGTACACATAGTGCTGGTAAAGAAATGTAGAGCTAAACTTTTATTAAAAACTTGTGCTCTTACACACTGAAAGTTTCAGCATTCTGTTCTTAAAGCCTTAAAGAATTTTTTTTTATTTCATTGTAAACTTAACTGAAACCTTGTATATAGTAAGTGTAATGCCACAGGAGAAAGCTAGTAATCTACAAATAATTACATTCCAAAAGACGTAATATATAGCTTAAATATATTATAAATACAAAATAACCTGGTTGTGTTTTAGATATTATTATTTGCAATGATCATGAAGGTAGGCCCCTGCCAGTTAAAGAAGCTTTTTCAAAATCACAGTTTGGTCTTCTTTGCTCACCACCTGATGAAAACATTTGGACTGTGTTGATCATTGCTGGGAGAAATACTATGATTCATAATTCTGCTTCAGCAACTGGACATTTTACATCTAAAGTTAGAGAACTCAAAACTTTAGGATATAATGCAGAATTAGTAAGTATTGAAGTATTTAATTTACTATAATCTTTTAATGATATTTTAATATTATAATAATGTTATACTGAAAATCATTCATAAATGTTAAAAAATTTCAGGTGATGTGGAATGTCTATGACAAGCTGACAAACGATGAAGAAAAAATAAAGTACTTAAATAAGCTTATAAAAGATTCTGTTAATACAGAGTTAAAGAATGAAATGAATATATAGTAAAATAAAAACGTATGTGTGTATAATAATTATTTCCAATTGGACTTTACTATTAAAATAATGTTAATATGTATATATTTATTCTTTAAAGTTTAAACATATGTTAGAAATATAGTGAGACCCTAAAAGCTACCATCATACTCAGCAGGAGCAGTCAGTAACTTATCGCGGCTTCACTGAAGTGAAATGAAACTATTCTTTCAACGGTTTTTGAGAAGCGCCATCTATCGATAAGTTTAAAAGTTAAATTATGGCCTGCACTAGTAGTGTTAAATAAAATGTACATTATTTTATTGCATGAGAGTCTTAATAAAAACGAACGTATTTACCCCCTTTTACCAAACTGGTTTTTACGAGTCTACGACATTTGAGAGTGACGCATGATGGCCGCCGCATATACACAACGCAAACAAAACATTAATCATAGAGAATAGTTATTTTTTGCCGTTCGTTCCTATCTTTTACGACTTTGAATTCTATTAAATATTCCTCTAATAACTTAAATTTGAAAAAAATATATCGTTCTTAATACGATTTTTGATATTGAATATTTTGTATCGATATACTGATGTATCGGATCAAAAAATATCGATACATCGATGTATCGATATTTTTTCAACACGTCTATACTCAGTGTTGCCAGCTCAGTAGTTTTTCCATTACATCTGGTGGTTTAGACTTTCCTTTATACTTTACTTTAGTGGTAAGGTACGATATTCAACTACTAACTAGTACGATTTCTAGTAGGAAAGGACAACTTATTATTATATCTCTTTTGTACTTAGTTTCTTACTTCTATTGTGTTCGCATCTTAGCAGTGCAATGTATTGTACCTTGAAGTTAAACCAGCTGAAAGAAGAATTAAGAAGGAGAGGTAAACCACAGGATTTACCTCCTCAATCCATCAGTGTTGAATGTTGATCCATCCTGACTGATTGATGGACCACCACACAACCTCAACTGCTGGACGTGGAAATGTGAGGAAAACGTATTCCTTATATGATGCAGGCATCCGATAAAAAAGAACTTTTCGCAATTCGTCCCCTAAGTGGGTAAAAGCTTTCCTTACCTCTACCCTCCATAAGCAAAAGTAAGGCTTGTGAGATCATGTAGGAACATGCATATTATATGTACATTTGTAGCTATATTTATTAAGACACGTGGATGTTTCTTATTTGAGTATATTGAAAAATAAAGTACAACATCTATAGTATTTTCACTAATGCATGGTGTGGGTGACACTTGTCAATATATCCATTTTTTTTTTATAAGCTGTGGGATCACTTATTGTATAAGATCACAAAAATTGCTGACAGATTCGGATGGAGTTTCAGGCGCCATTTTGAAAAAACTTTTTCGGCCGATATCTCGGAAACTATGCGCTTTAGGATAAAAGTCATTGGGGCCATGTTTGTAGAGAATAAAATTTCGCATCTTTTGTTTTCTGTAAAAAATTTTTTGTAAAACTTACCGTTGATTTATGGCCCATTTAATAAAACAGTTTTTCTATCTCGGCCGATAACTCTTAAAATATTGGTTTAATTAATGCATCCATCCAGTTTTAAAGATCCATTTATTTTCTACAACTTTTACATCCTATAGCTCAATAAGTATAGACATTAGAAAAAAAAGTTTTATACAAAAGTATTGTTGATCGAAGATTTTCATTAAATCATAAAATATTTTTATTCAAATACAGAATACATTGTATTCGAGTTTGAGATATGTATTCTGTATTTGAAGCGAAGTAAGCATTTCTACTAACTTTCGCTTAAATGTTGTAGAAGATTTTAATTTCTATTTTAAAATATCGATCCTTGTATTAACCACTGATATTGTAAATAGAAATCGACTATAATCGAGTAAGTACCTATTTGTTTACATCCATATTATATTTTACTCTTTGGTATGCTTGCTATATTGAATTGATGTCATCTGTGTCAATTTTGAGTCTTAACTCATATGTCTGTTAAATATCAATATCAATTTACTTTTCGCGCCCGGCATAAGCGCTGAGCTTATGATTGCTGTTTTTTATAAATATTACTATATTTCTTATGTGATACTTAAGCATTATACATATGTAACGTGTAATTTAAATATTCAAAATTCGTTCTCTTCAACAGTTCAAGTAAATCTGTTTTAAAATGTCACAAGCCGAGGAACCGATGGACACAGCAGATGTGGGTGATACTTCTGTAAGAAAATAAAAAACGTTCTCAATACCCCTAGTTATACAATATGTAAATTGATGGTTTATTATTTGATATCAACTTACAGAATAGCTCGTCAAGTGACACACCATCCTCGAGGGGCAAGGAAGGCGACTTTGAAAGTAAAATTGAAACTGATCGTGCCAAGAGATTTGATTTTTTACTTAAACAAACGGAAATCTTTTCTCATTTTATGACAAATACTCCCAAATCTGGTAGTAGTCCTCCGAAACCTAAAGCTGGAAGACCACGAAAGATCAAAGAACCAGAGCCTAGTGGTCCGGGGGAGTAAGTACATTCATAGATTTTTTTGTGTAATGCGTTAGTTACTTACTAAAATTCTTGCTATTTTATGCTACCTTAAGTTCAAGGTATGAGTTACTTACAAGTCTGAGATAAATGTACCTATAAATACTATGATTTTGACCATCATATTGCAAGAGCTATCTTTGTTTCCCAATCTTTATAGTTAATGTTGCAATATGCAAGTTACTGAATTTAATTTTTTTTCCATTGTCTCATAACAATAACATTTAAAAAAATATATAAATAAAAGGATAATAAAAATTAATATTTTCTATTTTTTGTCACTGAATTAACTTCTTATGTAAATTTAGTCATCGCCATCGAAAGACAGAACAAGAAGAAGATGAAGAATTGCTTGCTGAAACAAATATTAAACAGAAGACAATATTTCGCTTTGATGCATCTCCACATTATGTTAAGAATGGAGAAATGCGAGATTACCAAGTACGAGGATTAAATTGGATGATTTCTTTATATGAAAATGGAATAAATGGAATATTAGCTGATGAAATGGGTCTTGGAAAGACATTGCAAACTATTTCACTATTGGGTTATATGAAACATTTTAAGTAAGTTTTAGAAACCTCATATTGAAATATAGTTTGATTATTTACATTTAAAATATTGACAATTTATAATTGAAGGAATGTTCCTGGTCCACACATAGTCATTGTGCCAAAATCTACTCTTACAAACTGGATGAATGAGTTTAAGAAATGGTGTCCATCTTTAAGAGCAGTCTGTCTTATTGGAGATCAAGAAACAAGGGTAAGATTTTATTTATTAACTTATTAGTTAAAATTTTAAATACAGGATATAAGATTATTCATTTTAAATCTGTAAATAAGTTATTTTGATGTTTAAAAAAAAATTGATTTAGTTACTAAAGTAATAGAAGATTATGAAACATATTCAATTAATATATAAAGAACCAAATCATGCTATGTTAATGTATGCACAGAGATAGATTATAGTCTGGAATAACACATTTTATCCCAGAAAAACGTATGGTTCCTGTGGGATAGGTTTGTTTTCCTTTTCCTAGAGGCGAACCCAAGTGAAGTGAGGGTGAGCCGCTAGTATATAATACTTTCATAAATTTATGCAAATATTTGATATTTCAATACAAGAATAAAGTTTGTATATTTTGTAATACAACTAGGCTTTTAAAAACAATCATTTGTATAAGTCATTAGTAAGTAAATATGATAACAATAAGTATGGTGGGTGATCACAATAAAAATAATAAAGATGCAAGTAGCTAAAATTTGTCAACATTTATTGCTAGTATAGTTTATATTTTAATAACATACATTTATTTTTAGAACATATTTATAAGGGAAACTCTAATGCCTGGCAATTGGGATGTTTGTATTACATCTTATGAAATGATTATAAGGGAGAAGTCAGTATTTAAGAAGTTCAACTGGCGGTACATGGTTATAGACGAAGCTCATCGTATCAAAAATGAAAAATCCAAATTGTCGGAACTATTGCGTGAGTTTAAAAGCATGAATAGGCTTTTACTGACTGGAACTCCACTGCAGAACAATCTCCATGAATTATGGGCCCTACTTAACTTTCTTTTGCCTGATGTATTCAATAGTTCGGATGTAAGTATATTTCAATATTTGATGATTTTAGGGTTCTATACCAGTTAAAAATTGAATTGACTTGCATTACAAATTTATTTGCTTGTGTTTTGTAACAGTCTATAATATAATAAAATAAAGCAACCTAATGATGGATGGATAGAAAGTAACATTTTTTTTATTTTGGTTAGCAATCAAAAAACAACAAGTGAAGTCTGCTAAGAATAGGACTTATGAGAGTTACTGATATAATATAATTTCTTCATGATCTTAAAATGCAAAGTATACTTATAATTGTGCCTATTTCCATACAGTTAATATCTAATTATATTTCCATCCATATAATTATTTTGTGAATATTTTCTTCATAATATGTACTTAACATGGTTTATTAAATTCAGAAATATTGTTTTATAGGATTTTGATGCATGGTTTAACACAAATGCAGCTTTAGGTGACAATCAATTAGTGTCTCGACTGCATGCTGTTTTGAGGCCTTTCTTACTAAGACGTCTAAAGTCTGAAGTAGAGAAAAAGCTAAAGCCCAAGAAGGAACTGAAAGTGTATGTTGGACTTAGCAAAATGCAAAGAGAGTGGTACACGAAAGTACTAATGAAGGATATTGACGTTGGTAAGTAGAGATCATTCAAAATCATATTTAACATTGATTTTGGCAATGTTGTGAATACTAATGAAGTGTGTCATTTAGAAGCGTTGTTCTGCATACATTGTTTTGCTATTGGTGAATTTTTGAGTAATTGAGAGTGAGAAAGACAACCCTCTTAATTTACACCCAATAACAAAAAAAGACAATAATGTAATATCTGAAAATCTATACCTACATATAATAAAATTGTAACTAAGCGGAATCTGTACATTAAATATTTTTTGCGAAATCTTATTGAAATAGACGAGAATCTTATTGAATAGAGATTATTGATACAGAGGCCGAATCTATAGTTTTTAGAATTTCTGTTTGTCTGTCTGATACCGCATCACGGAAAACCCAGTACAGGGATTTTGATGAAATTTGGTATGATGATAGCTGGTTATCTGGGTCAACATATAGGATACTTTTTACTGCAGGAAAATATCTCATTTCTGAGAAATCTATACTAAACGTTAAAACGTAAGTAGAGACAAACCCGAGCGGAGCGAGGGTGAGTCGTTAATATGTCATAAAAAATAGTTGAAAATGCAATTGTTTTGATACATTATTTTAATAATTTACAGTGAATGGAGCGGGTAAAGTAGAGAAGATGCGATTGCAAAACATATTGATGCAGTTGCGTAAATGTTGCAACCACCCATACCTGTTCGACGGCGCCGAGCCCGGCCCGCCATACACCACGGACGAGCATTTAGTATACAACTGCGGGAAGCTTGCCATCCTAGATAAACTCCTGCCCAAACTGCAGGAACAAGAGTCCAGGGTACTGATCTTCTCACAGATGACAAGGATGCTGGACATCCTGGAGGACTATTGCTTATGGCGGCAGTATAAAGTATGTAAACCAGTTTTTACAATATAAAATATTACTATTATTACTTATTTGCACTCTATAAACACATACAATAACATTAATTGTATAATAGTGCCATACAGTTTTTATTGACACAATTATATAATGTAATAAAAAAATATTTAGGTGAAAATATTTTACTTTTTAGAGTTATTTTTATGTTGAATAAAATTTTAAGAAAATTATTTTAATTTTTAAAATATCTGCAACTAGCGACTTACTTAGTTGTTGCCATGTATTATTATTTATTTCGGAAACTAAAGAGCAGAGAAAAATCTAAAAAATCAAAGATCATAAAAATCGGTAAAGCCATTCTTGAATTATAAATTTGATAATTTATTATATTTTATTTTTCAGTATTGTCGTCTAGATGGTCAGACACCACACGAAGATAGAAACAGGCAAATAGAAGAATACAATGCCGAGGGAAGTGAAAAATTTGTATTCATGTTGTCAACTAGGGCCGGTGGTCTCGGTATCAACTTAACATCAGCTGATGTGGTCATTATTTACGATTCGGATTGGAACCCACAAATGGACTTGCAGGCTATGGACAGAGCCCATCGTATTGGACAAATGAAACAGGTAAACAGATTATATGATAAATTGTGAATTTTAAATATATCAAAATCATATTCCATAAATATGTCTATTGATAATTATGATATTACCTTATATACTATCTACAAAATAAATTTTCACTATAAATATTTTTAAAGGAAAATCTTATTGTAATTTTTAGGTTTTAATTTTTATGTGATCATTTTAAATTACATGCAAAATTATATTAGAAATTTGTACTAATTTTAAACCAATCAAATGGATATAAATAAAATAAATTTTCATAATTATCAATTATCATTCATTAATGGTAATGCCAAGAGTACTTTTGAATACAAGTGAAATGAAAGTGAATTGAGTTTATAGTTGCATCTCTGTGATTAATTTTCGATATGATTGGGGCCCGTGCCTAACAAAGGAATATTAAAAAAAACTAAATTATGTTACAGGTTCGAGTGTTCCGTCTAATAACAGAGAACACGGTAGAGGAGAAGATTGTGGAGCGAGCTGAAGTGAAGCTGCGGTTAGACAAACTGGTGATACAATCTGGTCGCCTCGTAGATACAAAGAACCAACTCAACAAGGACGAAATGCTGAACATGATTCGTCATGGCGCCAACCACGTGTTCTCTTCTAAGGATTCGGAGATCACCGAAGAGGATATTGATTCTATTCTAGCTAAGGGTGAATCAAAGGTCATAAGAAACTTTTTAACTCTATATACATTCATTTTTTTATTACAAATTATCTATAGTAACATTATAAATGTGAAAGTGTGTTTGTTTGTCCTTCTTTCACGTCAAAACAGAGTTTTTGTGTGGAGATAGTTGGAGGGCTGGAGAGTGACACAGACTACTTTTATTGTGGGAGAGGGAAAACACGTTATAATATAACCCACAACAACTTATCATACCTATGTATATATTACTACACGTTGAAAGTAAAAAAGAAACAAAATCTTCTTTCCCTTCCCTTTACAATAACGTATGGAAGTCTCGCCGATTTGTTGACATTTATTGATTACTGCAAAATCTAATTTAATAAATCTAATGCAAAAAGATTTTTGAAATCAGATTACTTTAAAACAAACAAATTCTGCCTCTATAATATTAGTATAAATATATTGTCTATCCATACTAACCGTTAAAAACACTGCAGAGTTAGCTGCTAAAAATATATAATACTACTACTCATGCATTTTGATAAATATTATTACAGACAGAGGAGTTGAAACAGAAATTAGAAAGCCTAGGAGAGTCTTCACTGCGAGCGTTCTCAATGGACACGCCGGGGGCCACCACCGACTCTGTGTATCAGTTTGAAGGTTTGAATTTATAAAGAAAGAATTTTTTTTATATTCTTAACACCCATTTCTATATAATTTGTTAATTGCAATACCTTTATCTTTAAATGGACAAATATACAGTGTTACTTTTCTTAATTACATAAATAAGACTACACGACTTCTAACTTCATAAAGTACTCAATTCATGAACTTACACAAACACATTCGTGACAATTAAAAATATTTTAACCAAAAATGAAAATACAGGTTATTTTCATTTTCGATCGACACCACATAATGATAAACGATTTATTTAAACCATAACTGGTTGTATCTGGTCGGATATAATATTTATTTATCGCACCAGGCGAGGATTACAGAGAGAAGCAGAAGATAATACCGATGGGTAGTTGGATAGAGCCGCCCAAGAGGGAGCGCAAGGCCAACTACGCCGTGGACGCCTACTTCCGCGAGGCGCTGCGCGTGTCCGAGCCCAAGGCGCCCAAGGTACAGGTAAATACGTGGAAATCACCAGAATACCCCTATATTACTAATATGTTTCATATACATTATAAGAAAGTACTAATGTTAGAAAAAGAAGACATTGTAATCAGTTCTCAATTAAACAGCTTTAAATTATAAAATCAGACATAAAAAAAAACTTAAAATAGCAAATTAATCAGCTAAACCTGCTTTCTACTAAAATACCCGTCAAAATTACCCGCCATCGAAAATCGCTTAAAATATCCGCTTTTCGGATAATTTACCCGCCAATTGGCAGCGCTGTTAAAGACCTAAAAACTATGTACTACAGCTTTGGTGCATCATTAATATATGTTATGTATAATTCTATACATAGATTTCACAAGTATACACTCTGTACTATATGTATATTTGTTAGCTCTTTATGCTGATAGTGTATTACTCTCATACTACACTCATTTAGTCATATTTATATATTATCTCTATAATGTATATTAAGTGCTACAAAAAAAAAACTATATTATTATATACTAATTACATATATACAGTATATATTCGAAAACTATGTTTGTTTTAATATATTGTTATTGCAGACTGATGTTCTTTGCTCTATATATAAATCATTTATCAACTTTATTATTTGTGGTATTTTAATTTACGCGCTTTCTTTATTATATACAGGATAAATATTTTAATAACTTCTCACATACATTTTTTCTCTACATATAGGCTCCAAGGCCACCAAAGCAGCCAATCGTTCAAGATTTCCAATTCTTTCCACCGCGACTCTTCGAACTATTGGACCAAGAGATATATCACTATCGTAAAACACTTGGGTAATGTTTTGTATACTATTTAAAGTAACTTAAATATGTAATGCAAAAAAAAATCAATTATAGCAGAAAGTTACAAATAAATGAAAATATAACTTAAAGATTTATATGCTATTTGGTTTATGTTTAAAGCAATTTAATATTAAAATTATAGGTATAAAGTGCCGCGTAACCCCGAGTTGGGTCCGGACGCGGCGAAAATACAACGGGAGGAGCAACGCAAGATCGATGACGCGGAAGCTCTCTCCGAGGAGGAGGTGCAGGAGAAAGAGCAGCTGCTCACACAAGGTTAATAAAATCGAAGTGTCTGTTTATAATGTCATAATAATAGCTTATTACTAAATGCATATGAAATTATATATTGATAAGAATATAATATACAATAATAAATAAAAAATCATTTTTTAAATTTTTTTGTCTGTCCGTTTGTTCCGACTAATCTCCGAAACGGCTGTACTGATTTTGACGGGATTTTCACTGCCAAATAGCTGATGTTATGATAATGATGTCCTTCTGACCGATTCCGGCCACGGCGGCCAATCTCATTGAGACTAGCCAACTGCGCAGGAGATAACATAGTGCAGCGCGTGTGAGGGAGAGCGCAGACACAACGTGCACTCTCTGTTCCTGTCACTCTCATACTGACACACCGCCAACTTCCCAGGCCGATGCCGCGACAGCCAGCCCTTTTATATTTGTAGTATAATATGTAAAGTTATAGCCTTCATAAGCCTCATGCAACGATCGTAAGACACGGAGCAGGGAGAAGCTATAAAGTACGTGAGAAATACTCTTAATATTTGGAACTATTAATCTAATTACTTGAAAAATTCTTTTTTTAGGGTCTGTTTATTGAGCGGAAAACTTATACGTGGACGGATCTGCGGTCAAACGGCTAGCTTTTGCGTTTGTTAAATAATTAATAAAATTAAATATTTTTCCACAGGATTTACGAATTGGACCAAACGTGACTTCAATCAGTTTATTAAAGCAAATGAAAAATATGGCAGAGATGATATAGAAAATATTGCTAAAGATGTTGAAGGCAAAACACCTGAAGAGGTAAATTTATATTTTTTATTTATAATCCTTTCGATATCTTTAGTCTAGATATATGTAGTATATTTAGTCTTATATATGAGAGTTGGAAACGGGAAGCTCAAGCATGCTTGGATTTATTTACCAATTAATGTTAAATTAGTTATTTTTTTCAAGGCCCTTCTCAAGCTCAATTTAATAAACAGAAAAAAAGATTATGTATAAATAAGAGCTAGTTATATTTCTTGTCTCGATTGTAACAAAAAGATTTTTCTTTTAAGGTAATGGAGTACTCTGCCGTGTTTTGGGAACGATGTCATGAATTGCAAGACATAGACAGAATAATGGGTCAGATAGAAAGGGGTGAGGCGAAGATTCAGCGGAGAGCGTCTATCAAGAAAGCGCTGGACGCTAAGATGGCGCGCTACAGAGCTCCCTTCCACCAACTCAGAATCTCATACGGAACTAACAAGGGCAAGAATTATGTTGAAGAAGAAGACAGGTTATTTGATAATTCTTTTGTACTAACGATCTGTCCTCATCTAAGGGTTTAAGAGTTTGCCAAATCACGTTTTTCAACTCAAAATACTGAAAGAAAATCACTTGTAAGGAGAATTTATGTTCACTACTTTTGCCTGATAAATTATATTTTATTTGTTTACATTGTGAATTAAAAAAATATTTTTTAAAGATTTTATTTTGCCCATTGTGGGCGTGATAATGAGAAATCCTTTCTAATCGATTCTTACACTTAAAGATAGGAAATTTAAAAATATGAAAGCACTCCTGGTAACTTTTTTTAAGCCTCTAGTATGTTTGTTAAATGTTAATAATATTTTGTATTATTAGAAATATATGCACAAGCAAACGCTCGCATCAGCCTGCTCAATGTCATCAGAGTATCTTAAGTCCTAAAACCACTCTGTAACCCATTGCTATGTACTTGAGACTCCAACCATGTAAAAAAGGATTTGAATAAAGTATATTCTGATTTTAATAATGAACTTTGCAGGTTTTTAGTGTGCATGTTGCACAAACTGGGTTTCGATAAAGAGAACGTGTACGAAGAGCTGCGCGCGGCCGTGCACGCCGCGCCGCAGTTCCGCTTCGACTGGTTCCTCAAGTCACGTACAGCGATTGAACTACAACGCAGGTTACTTATTTTATATACATGCTACTTAGTTTTTTTCCATTCTCTTGCTTTATTTCAAAACACTCGGGCAGTGCACGTCGATAAACCAACCTATTAGTTTTTTTCCCGACTTCAATGAAAGTTATTAGGATTTCTGACAGTAAGCACATTTTGATCGAATTCAAAATTAATCCACAGCACTCGCTGTAACGTAGCTTCTATAAGTAAAAGAATTTCCATAATCAGTAGTTTCAGAGATTACTCCCTACATCCAAACCTACCTCTTTCTAATATTAGTGGAGGGTAAATAAGGTAAACTAAGTTGAATACCTCTAAAATAAAGAAATATTTACTAATTATGTGTTTAAGTGTAAACTTATGGTCACAACATGTCTTGTACATATTTTAGTTTCTTAATAGCGATTTCAGTATTAGAAAGCATTGGCTAAGAGGAAAATATACTTGTCACCAATTTTCTTTAAATTATAAATGAGTTTTTTCTTGCTACCATGCAAGGAATAACAATGTAGAAAGCATGAGAATATAGGTATATTTATAACAAATAAAGTATATCGCGAGTCCATTTTTTTATGGTCCATAAACTTTTAATAAAAGAATTTTTTTATATAGTAGACATTCGAATGTCACAGTTATGCAGCAAAAATTGACAACAAAGGCAAATGTGTCAATAATCATGTTTTTAAAAATTAATGCTGAATAATCTTATTTTCAGGTGTAATACTCTTATAACATTAATAGAGAGGGAAAACCAAGAATTGGAAGAGAAAGAAAGGGCTGAAAAGAAAAAGAAAAGTGGAAATGCCAATCAAAATACACCCGGAAATGCGACTGGCAAGGGTGCCAATGCTGGCAAGCGCAAGGCTGACAACACTCCAGACACGGCTCAAAAGAACAAGAAAAAGAAGAAATGAAATTGGGTCCCTCTCCCGATGGCCAGAGTCACAAGGTCGGCGGTGGCCCGAAAATAATAATTAGTTAACAGAAAATAAAAGATGTCCATTACTATTGATGTCCGTTCTCGGAGGCTTTTAAGTGTTTACCTCGAGTATTAACCATAATGTAATCTACAAGTAGACATTCCCATTTTACGATATAAAACAATATGTGTTGTTTGTTTGTGGAACAATAAATAAAACTTCTGATGAATAAAAACATTATTTTATTTATTGCACGAGGTTTACCTTTAGCATATTGAACGCACGCCAAGTTGTAACTTTAGATACAATCAAATAATACTATTATTTAAGATTTTCTTATGTTTAGATATATAAATTATCTATAATGTCATATAAACTTAATCCTGGCTTCTCAGGTACGTATAATCACAGTATACATTATGTTCAATAAAAAAAAAATTGAACACTTGGTGGCGCCGTTGAGTATTCTTAGAGACTAATTGCTTGATTATGGAGAATTGCCATTTTCAATACATTCTTGCATAGTATTTGCATTCGGAGAGCACGGAGCTCCCAAGCCGTAGAGGTGACCGCTGGTACTTTCGATATTACCATCAAAAAAAATCTGCAAATATAACATGTCTATTAGCTAATGAGATCTTGTATGACATGGCTAAATACACACTATTTATAATTTTTGTTACACTATTTAAATGAAATTTCCATTTACAACTTCAATGTTAATTATATTTAGAATGTAGGACATAATAAAATATAACAAATGACCCCATTTACAACAAAGTAAAAAAAAATTACGTGAATAGTATATTTTATTAAAAGTTTTTAGAGGCTTGCGTTAGTTGATGGCAGGCATGTGACCACTGACCAGGCACAGGCCGCCGCGCTTCAGCACTTTAACGGGTTTAGTTCATATACGACTTTCACACCAATGATGATAAGAATATACAAATGTAAAATACTTGGGGAGGGGAATAATAATTAATCTTTCAGAATTGGTGGTAGCCTCGTGACATATACTAAACATTTATAATCTTTTAATGCTGAATATTTTGAATTTGAATAATTTTATGAATATTCTTGAATGTTATGGAAACTACCCCACATACAACAGTAACCTGCATACCAATTGGATGGTAATTGGCATCATAATTATTTACTACTAGCGGCTCACCCTCGCTTCGCTCGTGTTCATCTCTAGGAAGACAAAGACAAACTTATCTCACGGGAACCGTACATTTTTCCGCCGCGATAAAAAGTAGCCTATGTGCTATTTCAGACTATAATCTATCTCTGTACTAAATTTCATCCAGATTCGTTCAGCCGTTCTAGAGCGAAAGAGTAACAAAGATCCATACTCACATACCTTCACAATTATAATATTAATACGGATTTTATTAGTAGTTAGTATAAAGTTGGGTAGTATTTTTGAATTCAAAAAACTTATTAATTAGGCTTATAGTAATTATATAATTTATAGTCCAATAATTAGATCCGAGGTGAAGTCCAAAGTGGAGATTATAAGATCATCTTAAGTCTCGTACATAAACTGCACAGTCGTAAGACTTTCTAATCAATCAAAAGTAATCTTTACAAATATATGTATAAAAGCGAAATACCACTCATTAATTGATTAATCATGAAATTAAAACACTACTAGGACCAAATTAAGGAGGCTCTAAAGGCTTTCGTAAGTTTATATGAAAGTTCTATGTTTTAGTTGACAATAGACATGGTAAACGATATGCTGGTTTAATATAAAGCACCTAATGGTCAAACCCACTGGCATGCTAGTTCAAAATAAATAGACTATATTATTGTTAACTAACTTTTTTTCTTATTATTATCTAATTAGCAGAATAGTACTCACTTCCTTTATTTTGAAGAAAGCCATACCAGTTAAATGTGAATCGGAGCCAGCTTGATGCTGTGGACCGACTCTTCTAAGTTCTAATTGGTCAGCTACTTCTTGCAGTCCACCTTTGAGATTCTTACACAATTTCATTAGATACTGAAAAACATAACATAAATTTAAAAAAATATTTACTCTGATATATTTATTAGCAGCAAACAACAAAAAATAACTCACTTTAACATCATATACAGTTGGAAAATATAGCCTCAAACTTTCGAAAAAGTCATTTTCTTCTTGAGGCAAATTTTGATCAGTTAAAAGTTTAAGTAGATATCCAAAATCATAGCCAGAATGAAAGCTTAACCAATTAATGTTGTCCATTAAAACAATGCCTGAAATTATATATTGTGTTATGTTTAGTAATCATTATTAATAAAATGAATCCTGGGCTATAAGTCAAAGATTTGTGATGGCAGTCAACAAATAATAATACAAACAATAGAAACTTCTATGTGAACAATACCTATGTTCATTAGACAAATAGCAAAAATATTATAAGTAAATTAAGTTTTTTTTTCCAAATTTATACATTGAATTAAAAATAGACAGGACATCCATGAAACTTACAGCAGGAAGAAGCAATTGTATGCTGCTTACTTTACATTTACATTTTATATGTCCTGTAATTAAGTTTAGGGTAATTAAAAAAATTATTTAAGGAGCAAAAAAATACTATTTGTATACCTGAGGACATAAGAAGTTCAGCAAATTCAATTGGCTCAATACCATGTTCCTCATGCTCTCTAAATTGTAGTCCTGAGTTTTGAAGCAAATCAATTGAATCCTGTGCATACATATCTTCCCTGTTAACAATAGATCTTATAAAAATAAATTGAATTGTTACTTAAGAAGCTAGAACAATATAAATAACTATTTGTTTATCATACTAAAATGAATGTTTCGTTAACACTTACTGTAAATTGAATTTAAAATTAAATTGCCATGTAGTGCAACCTGGAGGAGTTTTTCCATTTTCATCCATAAATGTGAGACCTAATTGTATTATTCTAAGTAGGTCCACATTACACCTACAAAAAGAATCAGCACAACAAATGAAAATTAAACAATAATATATTTAGGAGCAATTTAAAAAAAAATATACCTGTAGTATCAGCACACATAAAATACTTACAAATACTACATAATAGTAAATAAAATAATTTTTACCTCAGAAGTTGGTATTGATAGTCAGCAGTGGATCTAAATTCTCCTATTGGTCTTGCTACAACACCAGGAAATTCAGTATCCATTGCTACCCATTGGTACTTCTGAACCACCTATAGTTTTTAAATAAAGCCATTAAATGACTAAACCCAAAGGCCACAAATAATAGCAATGTTTACATTTTAAATAAGTTGTTCTAAAATTTTTAGTAAAATCATACCTGTCTAATTACATGAAATTCATCATGAAGGTTGTGATTCCATACATTTTTTATGACATTATCGTCTTTATTGGATTTTAGAGTAATTAAATCAAAGTTAATAGCCGGCATCTGTAAAGTCATATTTGTATTTTGTTAATGATCACTTTATTCACTTATTTTATATCTAGTAATTAATACTTTAGTCCTTTTTTTCTTTATGGTTTATTTACTAATATTAGCGAATACACCAGCTCGTTTAATCGAAAGACATCACAAAATTTACCTACCTGCCTTAATCTTGTCATATTTTTGCTTTGACACTTCAATTTTCAAAGACTATCAGATTTAGACTTTAGATTTCAGAACTGATTTTAATTGTACAGATGAAAAATTTCCAAATGTAAAATTATCATTCAGCCTTCAGCCATTGCCCATTGTTCGAATTCCAGAAATGTATAATAATTAAGTGTTGTAAAATGTGTAACTAATTCGTGTATTGTTAATTACCAAATTGCCGCAAGAACATTTACCTCTTTATAAATAAATTTTTAATTTTTTTATTCTTTACATTTCAAGTGGTTTGAGCAATTCTAAATTCTTTTTACTAAAAAGTTTTTTGTGTAATATAGATCACGCAGGTGCTATTACTAGTATATCAAATAATTATATTGTGCCTATCATTGCTGTTTCCAAAATACTTTCTAGTTTCTACCAATATACATCGATTCGCATAACGTCAACAGCCAAATCAAATCATTTTGATTTGAGTATGATCCCAAAATTATTAATGGTGGATAAGCCTAAGACATGTGTAACGTTAGATTGTTTTGTTCCATATATTCTAGGAAAAGTTATGGGCTCTAACTCTTAACAAAAAGGGGATCAAGTGCCCTGTCTTCTCTACTGCTTTTACCTAATAATTATACACTAGCAAGTAGTAAATAAAAAAACCAAATCTATTCCACATCGTACATTTTTACGGGATAAAAAGTAGACTTAATCTATCTCTAATCTCTGTGCTAAATTTCATCGAGATCTGTTCAGCAGTTGTGGTTTGATTACCAAACATCCTTCTAAACTTTCACATTTATATTATAATTAGGATTATGTGTTCCAAGCTCACGTATATTGCAATAAGTCAAATATTTCAATATTAGGTTGCTTCCCCATACAAATTTTCACACCCATTTTCACCCCCTTAAGGGATGATTTCCGGGATGAAAACTATCCTATGTCCTTCCCAGGTTCTCAAACAATCATCTTACCAAATTTCATCTAAATCGGATCACTAATTTCGGAGCCTATTCGATACAAACAGAAACAAACAAATGTTTACTTTTTTTTTTATTAAAAATAGGCTCACTCTTGACCTTCATTGACATTTTAATATTAGAATAGATAAGTGTCAGTAGACAGCAAAAAAAAAAACGAAGATATTTTAAAAGTATCTATTAAGAGCGTAAAATATGTATAACTTAATTAAATATACTAATTACAATTTTTATCCAATGTTACAAACAATAAACATGAAAAGTATTTTATCACAAATTAAATGTAAAATAAATTGATGGCCTTAATATAAATTACATAATAGTATATCATCATTTATTATCTTCCTTCATGCAAATTGTGTAATACAATTGTCTCATGCAAGTAAAAAATACACTGTGTACGAAAGATCTTTATAAATTAATCTAACCATAATCTATTTAATAATAGGGAATATGATCTAGATAAATGTCATTACAAAGAAATATAAGATACTTACATAAAAAATAAAGTTGAATTGTTGTGTTGATAAGGAAAGCTTAGTTCTTAATTCTGTCATTCTACATTTTAAAGTATGAATGTTTTTGAAATATTGGAAGTATAAGTTTTGTACAATGTTGACACAGAGAGAAAATAACACTTTGTGCTTTGCTATAGACAAGATTAATAATATTGTGGCAAAGTGTACATACATACATCCAAATGATAACTAATCTTGAGATGATACAGTACTCATACTGTGCCATTTATGTTATTATATATTTGTCATATATTATGTTCAAAATAGTATGCCTGAGTAGAATTATTTGGTTAAGGAGTGCTTGATCAAGAGCTGTAAAGTAAAGCAAGTAGTATAAGTACTGCACATTTTTTACAACATCAAAATAATAAAATGTACAAATTGATTTCTGAGCATCTTTTCTCCACTGTTCATTGATATTGTGATCAATTTTTTCAATTCACTTTTTTATTCAGTAAGATGGAAAACTCTTGGTTGTGGTGTGAGAGTGGTCACACACACCGAATCTCCCGATCAGGAAGAATTTCCATTTTCACCGTTGTCTTGAAAGTTATTTGTATTTACTGAAAAAGGAGCACCTAATCCATATAGATGCCCGCTTGAACTTTCAATGTTGTCATCAAAAAATATCTGAAAAATATAATATTACTTATATAGTAATATTGGTTAATATTACATTACTGAATACAATCTGTGAGTCTGAAAAATTCTAGGAAAGTATATATTTATTTAGAAAATAGTTTAAAATATTATTTAAAATATGCATTGAGTATTCTCATTTTAGACTTCACCTCTTTGATTTTGAAGAAAGCCATTCCAGTTAGATGCGAGTCTGATCCTGCTTGATGTTGAGGTCCCACTCGTCGCAATTCTAGTTGATCAGCCACTTCTTGGAGACCACCTTTCAAGTTCTTACAAAGTTTCATCAAATACTGTAAATAATTTCAGAATAAATATTAAAAAAAAATGTAAAATAAGTCCAATTTGCTAATATTAAATATATCATATTTAGGAAAGGAAACTACTTTTTTTAAAAAGAGATAAATAATATATATATTATATTTATTTATTTAGCCTTCTTGCAGGTCAATTTCCTGATGGAGGCAAGTATTTTTCTATGTGTAACTTGCACAAAAAAATACTTGCTCAAACTTTCATTTTCACTTGTTTGCTGCTATGACGGAAATGAACATGGGAAGATATGTGTGAAGTGTCTATTCATATAATTTAATTATTAATTATGGAACTTCATCATTCTACTATTATAGATTGGAAAGGTTGTATATGTGTGTTAATGTTTATAAGTTCTTCACAATGAAATAGATGAAATTTATTACACAGATTAATATCACCTTTTTTTTAACATTTGGAAATGCATTTACGTCTACTACCATTATACATATATATTTAAACACCAAATTATCATCTGTGTATCTGTATATATATACAGATGATAATGTGGTAATTCACTGGCTAGAAAAGCCAATGGAACCTACCCCGTCTTAATAGGACATCAAAGGATCCCTAACATACTCAACCACCATGGCCGACAACAACCAGGAATTTGCTGCCATGGTTCAGTCTGCTATCAAAAAAGTATCAGGAGCAACCCGCATGGTACACCTAACACCGTCAACCGAAGTGGGCCGCCCATTGTATCTCTTGGCTTCACGCACGGCTGGATTGCCGGACGCTAATGAGCCCACGACAAGGTGAACACACATATAGTGTAAAAAATGATTTTTTAAAAGGTAACAACACTGCCTATATGTAATATTACAAATACAATGCAGCTAAGAATGCACGATACAAGCAAAGCGAGGGTAAGATGTTCATCACAATATTTATACATATTTGTAAATAGTTATTTATATCAATGCACATACCTTTACATCATAAACCGTAGGGAAATAAAGTCGTAAACTTTCAAAGAAGTCATTTTCATCTTGTGGTAAATTTTGATCTGTTAATAATTTCAGGAGGTACCCAAAGTCGTATCCAGAATGGAAACTGAGCCATTTTATGTTGTCCATTAGTACCAATCCTAAAATTAAATCAAGGTTTCTTCTACAAATACTATGAAATATAAGCTTATTATTATTGCAGATAAAATTAATATTTGGATGCATGAAACACCATAAAATCCCATCTAATGGGTACTTATACATGTGAATTTGTTTATATTACATAGGTGAAACCACATTTTTAATTGATGCTATTGGTAGTATCACTGCTGTGTTTTTGAATTCACCTATTTGTTATGTTAAAACACTATTCAATATATAACATTGATCTTCCAAGAGATTTACTATATAATATTGTATTATCCAAGTATAACAGACAGGTAAAATATTACTTCTAAGCATTTCATATCACGTATAACAAAATAGTAAAAATGTTGAACATTTCAATTCAAGAATTTATAATTGACAAAATTAGTCCAGCTGTTTCGGAGATTAGTCGGAACAAACAGACAGACAGACATTTTAAATATTGAGTTTTTCTTATAAGTACTATATATAATTTCATATGCATTTAGTAAAAAGCTGTTATTTTGACATTACAAACAGCACTTGCAATTTATCTATTTGTATAAATTAATTACCAGAAGACATAAGCAGTTCTGCAAATTCCAAAGGTTCAATACCATCTTCCTCATGTTTTCTGAATTGTAATCCAGAATTTTGCAATAAATCAATCGAGTCTTGTGCGTACATATCTTCTCTGAAATTAAATATAATTGTTTAATGCCTCTTTGAGAAAATGGTTACTAATAATCATTTTGAATATAAAAGTTAGCTTACTGCAAGTTGAATTTAAAATTGAACTGCCATGTTGTATATCCTGGAGGAGTCTTTCCATTTTCATCCATAAATGTGAGACCAAGTTGTATTATTCTTAACAAATCTACATTACATCTGAAAATCAATGTAACTTTTAACAAATTGAATTTTGATAATAATAATGCAGTCCTTTTTTTAAATTCAACACAGAGGTAAAATCCAGATGGGCAGATTTCACATATCTTTCAAAACTAGTTAATTTCTTGAGATTTTTTGAATTTTCTTAATCATTCAGTGTCCCTCACAATATTTTCCTTCATTGTGTACAAGAATGGTATTCATGTTGAAAATTCTTTGCACAGAAAAGATGAGCAAACATTATCAAATTACATTCTTATAGTACATGTATATATGTATGTACTTTAAAAAACTTACATACTTTAAAAAAACTGATGTCTACATCAAATTCAAATATTAAGTTAAATACTTTACATTGTATTATTTAAAATTTCCCAGGGCTTTCTGCCATAATGTCATTTTTATTGAGGCTAACATCGTGAACTCTTTTTTAGCATTTATGAGTTAAAATAGCGTTGCCCATGGCTTCGCCCACGTCAGATGACCAAAAACCAAATTCTTAGGTTTTACATATTAGTATACTCTTACATTGCATTTTTTTGTACTTTTTCTCAGAAATGAGACATTTTCCTGCAGTAAAAACTATCCTCAAATATCCTCAATAAATTTCATCAAAATCCCTTCAGTGGTTTTTCTGTGATGCGGTAACAGACAGACAAAAATCCTAAAAACTATAGATTCAGCCTCTGTATCGATAATAATGTCTACTTCAATAAGATATTCCAAAAAATATTTTATGAACAGATTCAGCTTAGTTAGAATTTTATTATATGTATAGATTTGTAAAGTTAGAAAAAAAATAATATTTTGTAGGCCATATTTGTTTGTACATATTAATAGTATACCTTAACAGCTGATACTGATAGTCTGCTGTGGATCTGAATTCTCCAATAGGTCTTGCAACTACACCAGGAAATTCTGTATCCATTGCTACCCAGTGATATTTCTGTACAACCTGTTTTTTAAAATATATTTATTGAAACAAAAACAAATTATTTATATAAGCAATTAAAAATACTTTAATTTAATATCTATTCTCACGGTTGTAGTATTAAAAGTACCTGTCTGATTATTTGAAATTCTTCATGAAGATTATGATTCCATACATCTTTAATGCCACAATCACCATTTGCTGGCAGTGACGACAAACTGCCAAAACTAGCTGCTGGCATCTAAATTTGTTAAATGAAATGAAGCATTTAGCATAGGTAATATCATATTATTTTGAAGTAACAAGATGTCATTCAGAAGCAAACTTAGTAAATTCCATTTTGTTTACCTTGTATCGACTTTCTCTTTCTAGATGGTAAGAATACTGCAAGTTTTGTGACGTTATGGTTTTATAAACTGATGTAAATATTTAAGTAAAAAGCAACGATACAAGATTAGGCAACGCTTGTAAATAAATAATATCTATAAACAACACTGTTTTTATTGCCTTAATTGATTTAGAACTTAATGATAAACATTAAATATGTAGAGATGTGTATGAAAAAGTGCTTATTAGCAAATTTAAAATACATAAGCCAAAAACTAAAAAAATCATTGCAACAACGAACATTTAACCCAGTGATAGGCATGCCATGGTGACAAACGAAATGACAGTTAAGTAAGCATATGCCATAGAGTTGCGTAGCATCTTTATAATTCACAGACATTACAACCAAATTGTCTGTGCCATAAATAATAAATATATAGTTTGTGCATAGAGTAGAGACTAGTGACAACAAAATCTTTTATTGACATTATACGTCTTGAAAGCGTAGGCACAGATACCTCATTCCCAAAACCCATCGATCAAAAAAGTACTAGATATACAAACAGCGAGAAAATTTGTCCTCACCGAATGAGCGCTCATTTGATCATTTGAGCACGCTTTTAATTTAGTAGTATTCGAACCATAGACCAGGAACAACAAGATTCGAACACTCCGACGGTAAACATGCCTCGGAGCTCGTTTAAAAATTGCAAAAATCACATATCTAGCATTCTAAAAAAGGATGAAGTTTCATATTTTCGGTACGTAACAATATAATTTATTTTAATTATCATTATATAATTGTCATTACTACATTGTAAATATTGATATTTTGTCAAGAAATCATCGTAAAAACAGTTTTTAAGTATTTTTTAAATTAAGTTGTAATAAACACTCATTCCTTGTCACGACGTGGTGCCATGGCGGCGCGGCGGCGACGATGACGATGGACGTGTATTTTTTTGTGAAAACAACTTTAAATGTTGCTTTTAAGATTCAATTTACTTTGTTGTATATTTAATTCATGTAGTATAATTACCTAAACACATTGGTGATAGTTTTAATCGATCGATGTACTTTTTTGATCCATGCTGTCATGTAATCATGCCTTTTCTACGCCACCGCTCTCGACTCCGTTTTGTGTGCGCGCGCGTATAATAAACACGCTCCATTGTAAAGCAGTCTCTATTAAAAATCTAACATATTTTCTATTCTATTTATGAATGTATATTATAATCTGTAATAATTATTATATTAAGAATAATAAATTGATTTTATGTATGAAACTATTTTTTCTTCATTTTATTCCATATTTCAGGTTTTTATTAATTATAAATTGTCACATGCAATAACATAGTTTCACATCTTTCGGGCGTCCCATGACGGCCAATTTTTTTTTTTTTTAGTTATTCTTCCTCTAATTGGGGAAGATTTCTCGAAAGGAGGGAGTCACATGTATGGCCTATTTACATTCAGTCTGAGGTTAAGTAATTTATTGTGGTATTTTTTTTATAACTGGTTTTTTGCTTCTATTGTGTTCGCATCTTACCTGTGTAATGTATTGTACCTGGAAGTTAGACTAGCTGAAGGAATAGTTGAGAAGGAGAGGAGCATCCTGTGGTAGTCCTGACTGACAGATGGATCAACACAGCCTAAGCCGCTGGTCGAGGAAACGTGGAGGACGTATTCCATATATGGATGTAGATATGCAATAAAAAAGGATTTTTCGAAATTCATCCCCTAATGTCTCATTATATGAAAATGTATCATTTATGAGAAAAAATACAAAAACTGCAATGTAAGAGTATACTAATATGTAAAACCTAAGAATTTGGTTTTTGGTCATCTGAACCCGGGTGGAGCCGCGGGTAATGCTAATACTTTATTAAAATTACGCGAATATTTGATATCTATACTAATATTATGAAGAGTCAAAGTTTGTTTGTTTGAACGCGCTAAACTCAGGAAATACTAATCCGATTTGAAAAATTGTTTTTGCATTAAATAGCCCGTTTATTGAAAATGGCTAAGGCTATATATCATCTATACATATAATAAAATTGTAATTAAGCCGAACCTGTACATTAAATATTTTTTGAAAAATCTTATTGAAATAAACATTATAATTATCGGATACAGAAGCCGAATCTTTAGTTCTTGAAATTTTTGTTTCTGTCTTTCTGTTACCGCATCGCAGAAAAACCACTGGAGCGATTTTGATGAAGTTTGGTATGGTGATAGTTGGTTATCCGGGTCAACATATAGGATACTTTTTACCGCGGGAAAATGTTTCATTTCTGAGAAAAAATACAAAAACTACAATGTAAGAGTATACTAATATGTAAAACCTAAGAATTTGGTTTTTGGTCATCTAAACACGGGCGGATCCGCGGGCAATGCTAGTTTTTTATAAGTTTGTTACATTATTGTATGCTGCTCACATGAAAGGCTTGCCTTCTAAATTGCAGCTAAACCAACCAAGCCAACGTAATAATATAATAAAAGAAATAAATAATAAAAGCCAAGTAAACCAAAAACCAACCAACATTGCGGTTTTTGTATTTTTCCTCAGAAATGAGATATTTCCCGCGGTAAAAAGTATCCTATATGTTGACCCGGATAACCCGCTATCCCGGGGGAGAAGCCAACTCCTACCGGGCGCGTCCCCAGGTGGCGGATAGGGGCATGCCACCCGCTTAGAGGGGCGGGTGGTACCGGAGAAATCCGGCGCGGACCAAATGGCTTGGATGGGGCCGCTCGTCTAGGCCTCGAGCCGAAGACGTTGCGGCCACCGGTGGTGGGACCGCTTGGTCCCACAACCGGATGATGGGTGCCGATTGCGGGACTGTGGTCGCAGGCCCGCATTCGGCGGAGGGGTAGGCCGCGGCGGGAGAGGAGTGCCGGTATTTCGGTGCGCCGTTCTCCCTACCTTCCGCGGCCTAGACGGGGCCGCCACCGTTTGATGGTGGACGCGGTGGGGCTGCAGGGGAAGAGGAGTGTCGGTGTTTCGTTGCCGCTCTCCCTGTCCTCTGCAGCCGATTGGAGGTGGCCCACTTCGGTGGGCGGTGTTTGTGTGGTGTGGGGCTGCTCCGGGTACTTCTCTGATCAGCAGAGTGGACTTAGGAGCGGCCTCACTTTTTGGGTTGTAAGTCTTCCCATAATGGGGTTGTCCCGCTTGGGGCGGCCTCATGGTTGGTGGCTTCGGCCAACCGTCGGGGCGTCGCGGTTGTATGCGAGAGCGATCCCGTGGCGCCCCACATGGCGGCAGAGGGGGAAAGTTGGGTTTTAGTGGGTATGCCGGTCTCATTAGCCGGAGAGTCTCCACATAACCACCCCGGGGAAGTCGGGTGGTATCCGTAATAGGATTTCCCAACTATAAAAAAAAAAAAACCCGCTATTACCATACCAAATTTCATCAAAATCCCTCCAGTGGTTTTTCTGTGACGCGGTAACAGACAGACAGACAAACAGACAGACAAAAATTCTAAAAACTATATAATCGGCCTCCGTATCGATAATAATGTTTATTTTAATAAGATTTTCCAAATAGATAGATAGATAGATATTAAAAAATATTTAATGTACAGATTCGGCTTAGTTACAATTTTATTATATGTATAGATAACAATATGGTTATCGTTTAAAATAAATGTAACTAAAAATTTGCCAAATTAACGATTTGAGGCGAGGAATGAATCAATATCTATGAATGAATAATGTCAATTTAGTTAAGACTGAAATAAGAAACCAATTAGGTTATTGTGGTCTGCCTCAGTAGACTAATTGTTGTGGCAGGGCTATGCGGTGCTATGACGCAAAGAGATGGCTGCTCAAAACAGAGGTCGCATTTGAAGCTACAAATACCCCAGATTCTCATGCTTATGTGGACTTAAATTTTACTGAAGAAGAACCCCTTTTTTGTAATTTGTCAGAATTGTCTAACAATTAAGGTACCTAATATATACCTAACTACCTTTCAGCTCCAATAGTCTCTTAAGTAATGTTACTGACATATGGATGGACGGACCTCGATCTTTTGATCACAATAGATGAGAAGTGGTCTAAATGATACCTGTATCCGCAACACAGAATATGGACCGACGGACGGACAAATTATAAAGGTTTCATTTTTGCCTTTTAGCTACGAAACCCTAATGTAAATTACCTACGGGCGACATTTACAAAACACGCATCAAACTGAGAAAATCTACGGCCTATATATGGCCCTGCGTCCGGGTTTCGTGATTTAGCAACCTGAGACGCTCCATCAAGACGGGGAGGGTTCCGTTGGGTTTCAATGGATAGTATTGGCTTTTCTAACCGGTGACATAACCATTTGCATGTAGGTGGTGGTATGTAAATGCATTTCCCAACGCGCATTAATAAAAAGTACTATCTACGTAAAATACAAATATGACTAATCGATGTGGAAAATACGAGTCACTGGTATTCCGCCGGGAACCTATTGTATGTAAAAAGTATCGCGGTTTCAAGAGCGATTTCAATGTAAAGATTTTATTATTCGTTATTGGGTAAAAGTACGAGTACTTTAGAGCTTAGAGTTAGTAAGCATGAATGTAATTCTGTAGGTAATATAGTATTTATTGTGGTTCATAGAGTTCTAGGTACTCGCATTTTAGCTAATAATATATTTTTATTAATATACACACATTATAAGTATATTTTATCCATCTAAATATGTAGATTTAAATGCCACGGCTCCGTAAAAGGTAGGACAGAAAGAAGTCCCGTCTCTGCTCTTCAAGTATGGAACCTTATACGTCGTACCTAGAGCCGCTACATCAACGTCGTTTTATTTAAACTTATAGAAAACTTATAAAAAAATATAAACTAATAAACGAATAAAAATCCGTTCAGACTTTTTCATATAGGTGCAATACCTAGAATTAGGGCTAAGCTATTTCTGAAATGAAAACTTCTATAGGCAGGTTTGGATGGGGGGTAAATTCTGTAAGTAAGTCGTCATCGACATGGCCACGTGACGTGTTAATGCTAACATTCAGTGCTGATAGATGTCAAAACCAGGTAAACCTAAACGGTTTATTTTACAAATTTTAATTTAAGTTCAAACAATTATTTTAATTACCAAAGATAACAACTGTTTGTTTATAGTTTTAAGTTTTCACTTCTGTCGTCAGTCCTCATGACAGTTTAAGAAAAAACCTTTCTAATTATTATATTAGCTTATTATTAGTTATAGACTGATAGCGTTTATTCAGTTTTATATGGTGTAGAGTGTAGATGAAAATTTATGTGTATGTAAATCATAAGAAATCTGAGGATATAGTTGGTCGTGAAATGACTTATGCATGTAGATATTCAACCCGTACAAACTACGATTTTCTATTACAAATAATTTGATATGTGTTGCGCCACATGCACACATCCTGCTCACCTAGTTTATATACTTTTCTAAGATACGTCCGTCCCTGTCTAGCACAGTCTAGTACATAAATTAAAATAAGTGTGAAAACTCTTAAGTTCTTAACTAGCTTAAATGCGATTTTAGGTTAGAAACTGCGAATCGTATTAATATTAATTGTAAGACTTTAAGAATAGTAAACTATCGAGTATTAATAAACAAAATAGGACTTAAATTATCAGCATGAATATAAGCTTCGGTGCAGTAGTGAAGCTTTCATGTGGGTGGGCGCGGGAAGGCGCTAGCAGTTAGTTGTTTGCAGACTGCCTTGGGGCACGGTACAAATCTTTTTCAGTACTGTTCGTTTACCGACGGATAACTTCGTGACCGTACTTATCGTATTCTTTTATAAATTCTTTTATAAATATATTTATTGTGTTTTATTTGTGACTCGGTTCATTACGTGAATTTATACACTTCAAGCGACCGAAAGACTGTAAGTAAATCTGTAATTTTTAAAGGCATTTAAAAATATATAATATATATTATGTCAATTGATTTACAGAAGATTTTTAATTTCACAAAATGATATCTTTAACTTTTACTGCAACTTTTAGAAGTATATTAATTAGTTACAACAAATGAAATTAGTAGGGACACACGTTTCAATTTAACATTTGTAATTTGTATGTATTGGCGGTATGAAATGCCGGCAAATAGCGGGGACAAGTTTTTATTGAGTATTTTTTCATTTTTTAATTATTATTTTTTTAATTCACTTAACCACGATAGGTATCTACTTCACCTAAATTGAAATCATTATAAAAACAAAGGCCTTGCAGATATTTTAAATGTGATAGGTCAACCGTCAATGTATGTTAATGTTTTTGATTATAATCTTTTAAAAACCAATTTTATGTAACTAGTATTAGCCTAGTGGCTGAAATTCGGCCACTAGGTTAATCGTTATTAAAAAATTGAGAAAAACATGTATGAATAGAATTTACCTATCTCTATACAAAAAACTGTTTTAAATTTTTTTTTATTGGTAACACTAAAGTTCTTTAATAGCTACTAAAAAAAAAGAAAAATTGGCCAACAAATAGAGGAGAAAAATGTAGTGAACTGTGAAATGTATTTCTTAATAGCCTATTTATTTAATTACTTAACGGAGGGCTATGTAGCAACTACTATGACAATTTACATTTTATTTCAAAATATATGTACATGCGATATTAGAATATTTTCTCCGGCACACTCACATGCGGCATATAAAATATTTTCTCAGATAACAGACAGCTGTCTGTAAAATTGGATTAGATGCCAATTGCCGTCCTCACGGTCACTGTAATAAACCGCAGCACCAGTTTAATGTTCACTATCGTAAAATAATTTCATATGGTTTATTGCAAAAGTAATGACAGCGGTTTTAAGATGGCGCTTTTTTTGCTTGAGTAATTATTTTAGTGAAATAATTTCATTGGTAATAAGCTCGTAATAATAATAGCAATGTAATTTTATTAAAATCCATACTTTAATATTTAATATTATAATGAATGTAAAAGTGTGTTTGTTTGTTTGTTTGTCCTTATTTCACGTCAAAACAAAGTTACGGATTGGCGTGATTTTTGTGTGGAGATAGTTGGAGGTCTGGAGAGTGACATAGGCTACCGCGGGTAGACCGCGGGAGATTATCTCATTCCCATTTTTTTTTTTTAACGTTGGGAAATGCATTTATGCACGACGTGTGGGACTCACCGGCGTAATACAGCCAGTACTACCCACTAAAACCTAACAAAACCTTCCCCCGTCTTAATGGGGCGTCGCAGGATCGCTTACGCATTTAACTACGACGCCCCGACGGCAGGTCTGCCGAAGCAGACCACCACAACCATGGGGTTGCTCCACAGTCCACTCTGCTATCAGAGAAGTACCAGGAGCAACCCGCATGGTACACCGCCCTCCGAAGAGGGCCACCTCCCACCGCCCACCGAAGTGGGCAACCTCCCTGTGCGTTTCTTAGCTTCGCGCCCGGTTGGATTGCCGGGCACTACTGAGCCCCCCCACCACGACAAGGTGAACGCACGTTGGGGGGGGATTATCTCATTCCCATTACTACATTAATTACTTGAAGCTTCGTATTATTGCTCTTCAATAGCAATAGAAATAGCATTTTTCTAAATTCATCTCTTAAGAGGGTAAAATAGGGGATGAAAGTTTGTATGAAACCTACCTTTTTAGTGTTTTTTTGTTGTTTTAGCGCGAGCGAAGCGGCTAGTTCTGCTAGCACATTATAGTAGTTATTTGTAAATACATTTTTTTGTTTTAATTTGTACTGATATTGATAAATAAATATGTTACTTCATTATAATTGTAATATTGATTTTATTGTTTATAAATATACAATCAATTGCAATAAAACTGCGATGTCATATTTTTATATATTTTTGCTTAGAAATTATGGTTCTATATATATATATATATTTAATCAGACTACTATTTTAAATGCTGGAGGATATATAGGATACTCTAGGGGCGAGTGTAGTTCAGGGGTGTTGCAGTGAATGCGCAAGCGATCCTGCACACCCCATTGCACTGCGGCGACGGGTTCCGCTGTGGGTTTTAGTGAGTAGGAGTCTCACAGTACCCTACCCATTGACGGCCGGTAGGGTCCCCATGATGGGTTTCCCCAGCGTCAACAAAAAAAAAAAGGGGCGAGTGTAGTGAAGGTAAATCATTAGTTTTTAATAACATATGTATTATACATATATATAATTTAAACAAGCTTAGTTTTAAGTAATCGCTTCAATAAAGTGAAATTAATTTAATAAAACTAATTGGATAAGGCTAAAGATTAGCTAGCAGTTACGCGTTCACGGGAATGTTAAGGAAATTGGTTTTTAAATATAATAAACCTCGTTCTCTTTACACATACCTAACCCTTGATGGGGCCTTTTCCCACAAAGCATTTGCTTTGACTTAAACCATTTAAAATTTAAAAATGAAATTTTCATTAAAATGTTAAAGCCGGTCATTCTGTTAGGAGAAAGTCTAATATGAGAGATAATATAATAATATGATTTATGAACCAAAATATTTACTACTGAAAATAGCAATTTGAAAATCAAAATAAATATAAAGTACCTATCTATAATATCTAAATACTTAGTTAATCAAAATGCTTCTGTTGGTGCCCTATAAATTAGTTGGCGTCGCCCGCCCTGGGAAACTATCGCAAGTATGTGGTTCTACGCGCCAAACTATTGTCCCACACTTGGATTATCAATTCGGTGATGCAATCATTCAAATCTTATAAAACACTAACAGGATATTTAGATACATTATTTACGAACGTTTCTTTATATTTTATTGGAGTTAGGAAATATATTAATAAAAAGAAACAAATAAAACTAAACAAATCGAGTTTAACTTAGTTTAATCAACTATTTAAAATAATAGTGTTTCCTTAAACAATTTTCAAACTGTCAACTTTAAATAGATGTAAATAGTTATTAGCCAGCGTTAGTCATGTAATTTTTTTTGTGGATTTTTCCGATGTTTTAATAGTTATTCTGCTATTCTGGGCGGAGACAAATCCAACAAATCAAAAACCATGAGAATCGAAGTTCTCGAATTATAATTAGTGTTGTAACAAACCCGACTTTGTTTTACATATATATTTCTGTTTTTTAATAATTATATTAGATAATATTCGTATTAAATTGAAAAAAAAATATACGACAAAATTTCTTGCTTACTAAATAAATAAGCACGTAGAAATGTGGTATTCATGTTATTGTAGGAAAGTTTAGGTCGAATAGTCAATATTAAGAGCTTTATAAATAATAAATATTAAGTTAAGTTTATGTTTATTATCATTATGATTATCGATAAATGGTATTTTACCTTCTATTTCTGCTATAAATCTAAACAGACTGCACTGAAATATATATTCTGTAAACTTGTGTTATGTAATATTCTTTAATATACCGTTTGAAAATTAATACCCACTTAATGAAACCTTCTTATGTTGAAAAGGACAGGAATATGAATGGAAAATTATTTTCGGCTTAATTCAATTTTCTTGTTAATAATGATTTTGAAACGTGCCAGTTGAACGCATATTACGAGTACTTCGCCAATGTCGCGTAGAATGGAGAAGACACGAGGGGGCCATACTGCTAACCTTGTAATTAGAAATGTGAAATTGTGATTTCCTTACACTACTGTTTAATATTTTATTTAACGGTATATATTTTAATTTGTTTGTTTTTTTTTTGTTTAAAACAGCATTGACATAGGAAGATACGCAATGTCACAAGCATCTCGCTTGATTAATGTTGTCGAAACGCGTGACGCACGGTTTTATTTTATATCTGAGATTCATTCTTGGGTAAAAATCATTTCTTTGTATTTCCGTTAGTATTGAGGTTTCCATCAATAATTTTTTAAACGAATAAATATACGATAGAAGGAGGAAAGTCTGTGGAAAGAGTAACATTTATTAAGGACTAGTGACTTACCCTGTTTTGCCATGATGCGTCAGTGGGTGCCGTTAGTGTTTATATATTTACAAGCGACACCCTATCTTAGCTAGGGTGCGTAATGGTTGAAACTTCTATGTAGTATATAATGAGTAGTATCTACTATGTACTAAATTTCATCAAATCTTTCTAGGCGTTTTAGTGTTTCAGTCCAGCAAAAGGCTGTTAAGATTAAACCATTTTGAAAATTACGAGTGTATAGAGTGACTGAAAAAATTAGACTGTATTGATAAAAAAGTTACAAATGACTTTGGTATTGTTAAAAAAAATGTGTTCATTAATTCGACATGTATTTTAGTACAATAAACCGTCATTTTATTATATGTCTTGGCAGTGTCTTTGTTTCACTTCGACGCTTAGTAAAACCTTATATACGAGTATGTATTAAGATTTTCTTCATTTCATCGTATTAAGTATGTAATGTTTGATAAACCTCTATTCGTTAGCAAAAGTGTCAGTAAAATAGATAAAGCTGTTCCTTGATAACCTTTATCCTTTTCCCGAAGATACTAGCTTTTCTCGCTTACAGCCTTTGTCCTCGTTACGGTCCTGGCGTGAATGTTATAAATAGAAACAACATTTTTTTTTACCAGGTGCTGCTATTTCAAGCAAATAACTATATGAAAGCTTTTTAAATAAAACTATCTTTTCGGTTATTTTCACGAATTTATTTTGACTTTTGGTTCCGGATATTTCTAACGGTTTACATTTTTCAGAAATCGTGGTCACGGGAGAGACTAAAGTTTTATGTAAGAACTGAGACTAACGTTCTAAGAAAGTATCATATGAAAGTTTAGAATATTTTGTTATCAAACTATTCAGATTATATTATGTACTAGCATTGCCCGCGGCTCCGCCCGCGTTCAGATGACCAAAAACGAAAATCTTAGGTTTTACATATTAGTATACCATTACAATGCAGTTTTTGTATTTTTTCTCAGAAATGAGATAT